AATATAATGTAGTAGTATATATACTTAACCATATATCAGAAATATTAATGATCAAGTCGTAGTCTTAAAAAAATTGAAAAATATCGAGAAGAATCAAGTAATAATCTTCACATATCGAATATATGGATCGCTTTTTCAGGGTCCAGATCTTCATTGAGCAAAACACATTTTGTTTAAAAAGTGCATGCTAATAATTATACTTGAAGTTGATGGCTCATAAATAGAAATATGTCGACTATTAATTGATTCTTGATCAATAAACTCGAATCATCATACTGATATGTAAATAGTGAATAGTAAATACCCATAATTCCTGTCGAGACTCGAGGTAGCATTATTATACATATATTATTTCAAGAACGATCTTCACCGACAAGTTCCGTGGCGTACTACTTACTACAATTTGTCACCTGCGTGTACTATAGTGTACTAAATTTTAATAAGTAGTATGGTGTACCTTTAATGAATTCATGATTAGATTATATAGACTGAGTTAAAAAATTGAAATACAAGCTTCGACCTTCGACCTTTACTGTAACATGTACAAGAAAAGCATTCCAATTATTACTCCCAAAAAGTTTTAGGACTTCAATGTGTTCTGATAATAGGCAGTTTTTAAGCTTATATGCTCGAGAGTCGATACACTTTAAACGTCTACGTATAATATTTGTTCGAGTGAAACATTATTGCACTAAAGAACTTATCTGTACGATATCCTGCAGCACTTTTTAGTCTTTAGACCCAAGCTACAACCGGCGTACACAAACATTACATTGCAGATCTCTGATCAGCTAATTTTAGACTTAAAGTTTAGGATTAAAATTTAAGCGCTTTAGTACTTTAGCGGCTAGCCTCAATTCTCTCGAGCAGAGCTTTTGGTGTATGGATGTGCAATAGATGGGACTACATACGTACATAAATACGAAAAAACTTGCGTTGCTCCTAGTCGAGTCTTTAGACATCTGGCATCACATCATGATCATTGATTCATAATATTAGTAGAAAATCATTATTTGAGCTTATATTCGTTGATTTGAATTTAATATGATAACTAATTAATAAGTACCGTACTAATTTATAAAGGTTAGAACTCAAAAAGATTCCAACATTCTGTAGCTTATCGGTCCAAACGCCAAGTTTTACATGTGTCAAATACCGAGTCAATTTATACTGCAATAGAATGATGAATCTCATGAACAGCTAGTAGCCACGTAGTACCAAAGTAACATCTAGAGAAAGTATTTATTGTTATAGTACTAATATAATATAGCTAGTGGGGACAGGTGGTCCACACCAGCGCAGGATTTCGAGTCACGTATATTGTAGATGGTAGACACTAAAGAGGCCGGATGTAGGCGTTACATACTAATATCTAATATGAATCAATATATTAATAGGCTATAATTTGAAGTGAATACGAAAAATGTAGTTGAACAATAAAAGTATACGCGTTTTACAATTTACGTTCTAGTATAATTATAAGTTCGTAAAACTGCAATACAAATCATGTTCCTGAGTAAATTTGTACCAAACCTACTTACTGTTTTAGTTTCTTTTAAGTCCCTTTTCAACCGATCAGCTTCACAGCTTAAGTATCCAAACTGTATTGTGTAAACTTAAGATATCTTTAATAGGAATGCTACGTGATACGAAAAGGACTTCGAAGCTTTTAGAAATTGGGTATAGTAACAAATTACATACTATATGTTCTAGAAATCCGTCAATTCACCTGAGCCCATCGAAAAGATCAATACTCCATCCACATATACCAGCTGGTTGAAATAATATTATAACTATAAGAGGGTACTATAAAATTTGTGTATAACGGAATTATATCATCTACTTGATGAGGTAGTATTTTTCGAATTACCATTCTTAGCTTTTGATTTGAGATAAACCACTTGTGACTTGGCCTAATAATAAATCTATGATCTCCTGACTCTGAGGCTAATTCCAACAAAAATTTCACCGAGCCGTTAATATAACTTATTGACCCTTACCTGACTGTAATCATAATCAACAAGTATTGGTTCCACTTTGGAAGTTGGAACCTGCAAAGTTTTCATGCAATGAAAATTTAAAGCAAAATATCTACGACTGTGAAGGGTGATTAAGACTTTATAAACATTGAAAATTGGTTTAGTTATAAATTATACTATAGCCACTAGTGGCCACATCATGTTAATAAAAATAGTATTTTGAGTTGATTTTACAAAACAACATCATGTCAAGCTGTTGAAATATAACATCTTTAAAATCAGGAGCTGGTTTGAAACTTGATCAGATAAATTATGAGACATTTGTGGAATTAATTATCGTACACCGACCACCTGGTTAATCCATGATCTTTTGAAAGTTACAACTTGCCACAGTCTTCAAATATTTTTGACTGTACTATAAGGTTCTTTCAGTTCGTGGCCCTTTTAGGTGAAGAATAATATTTTGATTCAATTCTTCGTAGCTTATTCGAAAATTTCAAGCTTTTCAATACTATGTTGATTATTAAGGTTCACCGTTTTTAAGTTTTAGCATCCTTTTAGCCTTTAAAGATAAAGTCACAGAAGTCTTTTTGATGAACCTAGAGGTACCTTTTGCTTTGCATATAATTAGCTGTTCAATTCTATTATAAGATTTTCAATAGGTTCTGCAACCCTATTCCGCTGGCTGCACTTGACGAATATGAAAAGTTCATAGTTACTCAAACTTGATCAAATGGTTATCAAGTACTCAAAACACCAATCCTTGAAAGTTGAGATCAAATCTATAAATTTTAATTGTACATTTGTAACTTTTCAATTTCCCTATTGAGTCTTCATACCTTATTTTACCCTCAAAGTTCAAAAAAATTCCAACCAATAAAAACATTAATGGTGTACTCGATACAGTACTTGAGATGCAAGCTATGGCGCTGGAACTTTGACCATTTAAAAATTAAAATGGAAGAATAGGTGCATTGAACTCTTTCCAGCTATTTGGCCGGATAAATTAATAAACAAAATTTCTCATCATAAATATATTGTGTTTTTTAATGATATTCTGCTCAAACTTCTTTGTTAAAACAATCACACAAAATTATTGATCACGTTGAGCATGAAGTCAAATAATTTCCAAAAGTTTAATGGATATACCTTTATTGACGATTTTTGGAGCTTACTGAGTTTTAAAATATTTTTTCATTAGCCGTGATATGTATTCAATCATTCAAATGGCTCTCAGACTCAAGCTTCATTCATGTCCAGGGATGATTCCTCAGATATCATAAAAATGCAAGTTGGTATAAAGGAAGTAAATGGGAAAGATTCATTTTAATGACGGTATAATGGACTTGATAAATGATTAGGTACTAAATGACTGAGACACAAGTAAGAGCGGCTGATGGTTTGTATGGTATCTGGCAAATCTAGCGTTCCAACTGATGATACGGTATCATAAATCAGGAAATGGGTGACATATAATAGTTTTAACATATTGAAAAATCATATTTGTGGCTTTATGTTATGGTTTGGTGTTTGGTGCTGATGATATTCTGTCTAGAACACAATGACGTTGAAAATTAAGAGCTGAAGAGGATTACTGGTTTCGTCCCCATTTGAATGAAAAGCAAGATATTGGAATATGAGAATCAATCATTTTAATGTGCATTCTTCAATTGTGTGTGTTGTGAAATGAAATTAATGTTGGTATTTATGAAAAGCCTAACAGCTCAAAAAATGATAATAAGCCGAACATTATTGATAACTTCCAAACCATTTTTGAATTAAATATTCATAGCTAGCTCCTTTTTGAAACCAATGTTGTGATCTGTGACTTTACTGATTTTATTGATGACCATTGAACCGTTTGATCTGATAATCAACATTGAACCATATTATAATATTACTTCTGCTGTTGTCATACCTGTTGATATATTAACCAGACCATTTTGAAGCCTATAAGGGATACATAACAACACTTCAAATAGTTTAATCTGAACATCAGATTGAATACCCACTTTTTAACCACATTGGTATATCATTTTTTTTGTTTGTTATGCTTTTTTTTGTCGTGTTTTATGATTTCAGTGAGCTGGATGGAGTACGATATTCATTATAATTATTGAATGGTGCAGATCATATGGTGATTTGTTGAATATTTCACACAATATTTTGTGAATAACAGTTATAACTTGATCCCTGTTGTTCAATATGATGCCAGCTTCTGCTAAAAAAAGGTCATTTATTGTTATGAGCTGTGGATTGTAAACTGTTGGAATTAGCTCGTTGAGCTTCGAGGCAGCAACAAGAACTTTAAAGAGCTATAAGAAATGTTCACTCTGAAGGAATTTTTATCAAAGCTTTTTATATTAAATGACCAACCGTGTTATTACTAGCTCATGGAAGAAAAATTTGATCCAGTCTTCTTCTTCAAATATTTTGATTAGTCCATCAGACATCAGACTCAAAGATGTACCGAAGACGTGTTGGGAAATGGTCTAAAAAATGGAAGGTTTTTTCAGAATATTCTTTCGCATACTACAAAGATTAGAAAATTTAACGGTACTTAGTCTTCAGATCTTCGATTTCTTCACTCACTTCATGATTGTTTTAACAGCTAAACTGTTGCAGAATGAGAGACAGGGCTTCTTAGGTTATTTTTGCTGGTTTAGATCACAAGGATCTAAAGATTTAGGTTTTTGGGATCTTTCATAGTAAGATCGGTGATTATAAAAATGTGTACTAGATAATCAGATTTTATGACTCGTCAGATTTTGGATTTTATTCGTTGCTTGACTGTAAAATTGAAGGCAGATATGGAAAGATGAGTACACCATTAATGGTATACAGAGTACATTTTCAAAGCCTTGTTGTTTATACAATATAAATAAAATTACACACCGCTTTCAACATATTTACACCATTATATTAATTTCTATTATATAAGTTTCTATATACACAGGAGAAGTAAATTTCTAACTTCTCAATTCATTAATCGTTTCAATAACTTATAACTTATTATTAGTTTTAAATTTGTTTCAATTCAATATCACCAGAAATAGGATCTAAACAATCAATTTCAAAATTTTTAATAACACTACCAACTTTTGGAGGACGTGAATCACGTTCAAGTTTCAATCTAGCGAAAAGACCAAATTCTGGAATTATACCACTAACATAACGACCATTTGGTCTTGACCAAGTGAAAAAACTCAAATCAAGTCTATTTCCCTTTTCAATTTGTTCACTAATATATTTAGTACAATAATAACTAACCGCTCTTCTGCTTGAATATTTCAAGATATCATTTCTAACTTCAATATGAAGAGTCATATAAAACATTTCAGCTTCAGTGAATCTTGATGGTTTAGCTCTTGCCATGTTATGGAATTGCCAATGGTTAACTAAATCACCAAATCTTCTCAATGGTGAAGTAGATGGAGCATATGTATCACAGGCAAGCATTAAATGTCTATTTGGTTGATGAGAATAAATGGCTGGAACGATGAATTTGATAGATCTGGCAATATCTTTCAACATTGGTAATGAACCTTCTTTAATCATCTTATTCATGTTATTGATAACTTCTGAAGCAGAACCAGTTGATTTGGTTTCTCTCATACCTTTATATATACCTGGATAACTATTCTCTTTCAAAACAGAACCACTAATAGTGTTGGCTAAGATCATAAGTTCAGAAACTAATAGTTGAGAATCAGTTGATTTTTGTTTACCAAAGACGATATTATAATCATCCATTGAAGAATCGACATATAATGAATCAGATTCTGCATCATTTTCACTTTTAGGGAGAACTTTAACATCAGTACCAAATGATTCACCAAAGATAACAGCACCTTGTTCAACTCTTGATTCACGTAATTTTTGTGCAATTTTGAAAAGATCATTTAAATCACGTTCTTCATCATTCAAACTTGAAGCATCTTGATATTTAGTTTTCAACAAAGTTTTATCCACAGTGTTATATGTATATTTTGGGAAGCTTGAAACATATGATGGTTGAACTTCAGCTTTTGATAAATCAACTTTACCAGTTTCAAAATTAAATGGAACGCTAAAAGTCATAACTCTTGTCTTTTGACCTTCAATACCTAAACCTGATAGATTGACTAATGACATTGGTAACATTGCTGAAATAGTTTCTGGTTGATAAGTTGTGAAAGCTCTTTCAAATGCAATTTTAGAAATTGAATTTTCTGGTGATAAATATGAAGCTGGATCAGCAATGTGGATATGAATATTTGCAGTTTTATCATCAATTCTTTCAATAGCAACACCATCGTCAATTTCATGTGCAGTTTCACTATCTATACAATAAACTTTCATATCACCAAAATCTTTTCTAATATCTTTTGAAATATCAAAATCTTTGTCTAATGTTTCATCTGACAGTTCATAAAAATCTCGTTCTCTATCAGCTTGTAATGAAACATCTTTGCCTGGCATACATAAATTATTTGAAAAATGAACAGGATTTGTTAATTTTGTATCAATATAACCAATTTCACTTAATAAATTATAAATTTTAGTTTTAGTAACATCTAAATCTAGTAGATTTTCAGGTAATTTAGTTAATTGACAAATAACACTTTCTGAAACAGGATCTGTGATATTACCAACAGAATATTCTTTTAAAAGAAATAATATATTCTCAAATTCTTTTGGAACATTTGTAAAATCTCTTTTTTCAATATAATCAGCAAAACTTTCCCTTAATTCTGAATCAGTTTTCAATGAATGAATTGCAGATTCAGCTCTATGAACGTATTCCAATGGATTGACAGTGACAGATAAGGGGAGCATAGCACTTCTTGAAGTGTATGATGTTGACCAAAGTGTATTTTGTTTTTTCAATGCTAAAGTTATACTATATAACAATGGGACATCGTATGCTGCTTCTGGGTCCAAAGAATTGATACTTTTCCCTAATCCTGAGTCTCCAAAGATATTAAAATCAGACCCAAGATGTTGAACTCTTTTATTTAATGCCTGATAGGAATCTACTCCAGTTATCGCACCACCCTTCATGTTTTTAAGAGGAATTTTTCTCACAGCATGATAAAGATGAAATAATGTGATTTGTTTAGGACCATTCCCTTGACATAAACGATGAATGACTTCTAGTTGTTGTGAAACATCAGGAAGCCAATCCCAAGCATCATTTGTGATTTGTAAAAGTGGACCAACTATAGTTCTTCTTGCTAATGGATTAACAGCATAAAGTTCATATTGATGATCCACAGTTGTTTTGACACTTCCATAACCTGATGATTCTAAATTTGTTCTTTCCACAATACCATTAATCCATTCTTTTGGAATCACTTTTGGAATTCTTAATTTAAAAGATGATTTTTCACAAAAATGTAAAGTACCTTTACGATCCATCACTGTATATCTTGGATCATCATCTCTTGAAGGTAGTTGTACAATGACACTCATGACTGATTGATCAAGGGTTTTAGAAAATTCAACAGCATCACCTACTTCTAAAGTATCAAATATTTCAGTAGCTTTAATGAAAAACTTAGGTTTACCATAATATTTTTCAAGTAGTGAAGTAAATGGTATGTTATCAATTTTTTCAACATCAAATTTATCTCTTAGATCTTGGTGAACTTTTTTCATCCAACGGAAAGTTGGACTTTTGAATTTTTTATCAAATCTTTCAACTTCTTCAGGTATAATTTCTTTTAAAGTTTTACTATCTATAGCTTGGGTTTTTTGTATTTTTTGAAAAAAATCAGATTGTAAAATATTATCAACAGATGAATAAATTTCTTCCCTATGGGACTTGTCATCCTTATTGTTATTACTAGATTGATTTGTTGTATGTTCTTTTCTTTTAAATGCATCATCAACTTTAGATCTAGTGATTGAATTTCCATCTTCTTCTGATAATTGTTGATCATTCAAATTTGAAACCACATTATCTAGTTGTTCCTTTACATATTTTGGGTCATCTGAAATTTCATTTCCAATTCTTTATAGAGTAACTATTAGTATTTATGAAATTTCAAGTTAATCAAATCATTTGAAAACACTTACATATTCTTTTTGGACTTATAATCTTGTTGCAGCAATCGTATGCTGGTACTGAAGCACCTGAGAGGCACTTTTTTAGCCACTGAAGATGTGGAGCAGTATAACCTCAGCATTCCACGATATTCTTCCCCTTTGAAACCTTTGAACTGTGTGAACTTCTTGTGTTTATTTGTTAATTTTAGCTGATGTTTATATTGAATTTTTTCATAAGCCCTCGGAGATGAGATATCTGGCCGGATCTCAATCAAGTCCTTTGAGAAAGCATAATCAATTAATACTCAACGGATATCCATGTTTGAAAAGTGACTTTGGAAGGAAGAAAAGATAGGTTAGAAGAATGCTTAGCTATAAAATGAAACCACAGGCCAGTATTATGGCTCATGCTGCCAGAAATTTGGGTCAAATACGGCTAAATTCCACCGTGAAAACCACTTCTTATGATCCAAGAAAGCAAGAGATCCCAGAACATTCAACTTTGTTCAGTATGATTCAACCTACTGGTATGTTCCATTTAGGTAACTATCTCGGTGCTGTTAGAGCTTGGAAGGATCTTACAGATTATGCTCCTGATTCCACAAAGTTGATCTTTGGTACTGCTGATTTACATGCTATTACTATTCCTAAACCGGCTAAAGATATAAGAAAATTTAGAAGTGAAGCTATTGCAAGTATATTAGCTTCAGGTGTTAATCATGAAAGGGCAATTATTTACCACCAAAGTGCACTACCTGAACATGCTGAATTGAATTGGATCTTATCAACTTTGGCTGGTACTGGCTATTTAAATAGAATGACACAATGGAAATCAAAATCTGAAGGTTTAGATAACTCAAGTTTAGGATTATTTGCTTATCCAGTATTACAAGCTGCAGATATCTTATTATTCAAATCTACACATGTTCCAGTTGGTGATGATCAAGTTCAACATTTGGAACTTTGTAGAACTCTAGCTGAATCTTTTAACAAACAATTTGGTAAAACTTTTAAATTACCAACAACATTATTAGCACCAACTAAAAAAATCTTAAGTTTGAGAGATCCATTGAAAAAAATGTCAAAATCTGATAAAGATCAAAATGCTACAATTTATATTAATGAGACATCTGATGAAATTGCTAAAAAAATTAAAAAAGCAGTTACAGATTCAACATCAACTCATTTTAATTATGATCCAGAAAATAGACCTGGTGTTTCAAACTTAATTAATATTATAAGTGGTATTCAAAGGAAATCAATTCAAGAAGTTGAATCTGATATTTCAGATTTTAAAGATCATAAAACTTTCAAAGATTATGTTTGTTATGTTATAAATGAAGAAATCAATGAACCAAGAAGAAAATTTGAAGAATTAGTTCAAAATTCAAACTACTTGAATAAAATTGTTCAAGAAGGTAATGAAAAAGCTAGAGCTATCGCAAGTGTTAATATTAAAGAATTTAAACAAAAAGTTGGCTTTTAATTGAAACTTTCAAACAATGCCTACATTAGATCATATATATAGTACATAAATTCATCATCATGTATATAATGCATATTTTAAACATACTCATAAAGTCATTTGATCCAATATACCTAAAGATGTAGCAAATTGAACCAAAATTCTTTGAACAGATCTTATATTTGCACATGCAAAGATAATTTCTTTCAATAATTCATGTTTATCAAAATTTAAAATTTTAGAATCCCATTTTTCTTGATTTTGTTGATTAATTTCTGGTCCATAAAGTTCTTTAAAAATTTCCACTAATTTTGCCTTAAATTCCATTTCACTTATTCTTTTACAATAAATAATTAAATAATTTTTAAATTCAGTTGATTCATTTAATTTTTTTGAAATTAAAATCCTATTCTCTAAATGTGCTAATGATACAATTTTTTCTAAATTTTCATAACCTTCCTTCATCAACATTGTTTTAGCCATTTTTTGTAAAAATTTACCCCTACCTCTTCTAACAATTTCATCATTAGTTTTCCTTTCTAATAAATTAACAATATTACCATTTGATTTATCATCTCTTGAATCCCAATATTGTGAACCAAAAGCCCACCATGAATCACTAACTAAAGTCCAAGTTTCCATATCTTTATCAAATAAATAACCATTCCCATTTGATATTGTCACTATAGGAGTTCCAGATGATGATATACCACATAATGTTAAATTTTCAGCTCTTGTTAATAAATCAGGATTTGAACGTGATAATATAGGATATAATGTAGTTGGATCAAATAATGATTTTTTAGCTTCAATATCCCATGCTAAAACTTCACCAATCGATGTAACAGCTAATAAATATTTCCCTTTACTTTCCAAAAAACTTAATGGAGTACCTAGGATTATAGGTGGGAAAATTCTTCTACCACTATCACTATATATATAAAGAACACCATCCATTGTTGAAACAGCCCAAAAATAACCTTCACCTCCAGCAACTAACCCAGCAAGTTTTGGAATGAAATCAGTGAATATGGTTCTTGTTTCATTTTTAAATAATGTAATTTTCGTGGGTTTTTGTTCATTACCATTCCCATTTCTTATTTCAAGCATTAATGAATCATCATTTATAGATTTAAATTGAATAAATGATCTTGCTTTTGGTGTTGATATTCTTACTTTGGAAAAAGAAGTTGAAGGATTTATTATAATTGAACCAATAAATTCTACAGCTTCAACTTCTCTTCTTTTTTTTTGTTGATCTGAATCAAATTCTTCTTTTCTTTTTAAATCTTTTGGTACAGAATATGAAGGTTCATCAAATTCCATTGTTGTATTATTATGATTATTATTATTATTATTTAGGATCCCATTTGTTGGTATTTGTGGAGTATTTGTAAATGTTGGTTTTGATCCATTAACTGTAGAGATTAAAGTTGGAGCTATACGTTTCTTACCATCTTTTGTCTTTGTTGTTAAAGGATGTTGTATTACTTGGGCATCTGATGATTTTGTTGGTTGTGGTGATGGTGAAGGTTTTAATGATTGAGGAGTTGGTTGTTTTGGTTGGTTTTGTTGTTGATTATTATTATCTTTATTATTAGAATCAATTATAGATTCTGGCTTTGGTTCTTTTGGTTTTAAAGGATCTGGAATATTAATTTTTTTCTTTAATTCAATTAATTTATCTTCATTTATAAGATCACCTAATTCACCATTATCAAATTGGAAAATTAAAATAGTATCAGTTGCCACGAAAAGTCCTAACCCATCTCCATTCCAAAGTAAATCATTTATAGTTTTCTCTGAAACATCCGTAGCTGTAAATATAGGTCTTTGATGAGTTGTATTCCATACCGCGATTGATTTATCAATCCCAGAAGATGCAATTATATTAAAAATTTGATTTTTGGAATCTTGATAAATATTTGGATTAAATTTAACAACATTACAATTATGACCATATAAAGAATAATTTGATTTCCATTGTTGTCTTGATACGATCCCTATTGAGGATACTTGAGGATCACAACCAAAATTTGGCACTGCAATTAAATCACCAATTGAATTCCAAGAATTTTTACAAATTTCATTAATTGATGATAAATTTTGATTACCAGTTGGTAATTTCTTGTATAAAATTTGATTTTGGAAATGAGTGAAATGATATATGGATAATTGACGATTAAAACCTATGGACATGAGATAAGAGTTTGTTGGATCCACTGAAATACTTTGAACATCAGATCTTGATGGTATTGAATCCATTTGTTTTGAAGTATCTAAATCAAATGATAAAATTTTATTTAAAGTCCCGAAGAATAAAACATTTGCAGAATTTGTTATATCATTTATAGCAGATGTTGATTCTAATAATAATGTAGATTTTAATGTTTTAATATTTGTTTTGAAAACTTTACCTTTTATATCACCACTAATTAACCATTCATTTATGAATTTTATACTTAGGATTTCTATACCATCATGAATATTTATTGAATCTTTTGGTTTCACTTTGGAGATATCTTCTTGAGTTGGAGATTCTAATGCAGTGACATCAATTAATGTTTTAGAATCCCATAATTGTATTATTCCATCATTAACAGCACTAGCTAAAGTATTTGAATCTTGATGGATAGATAATGAATTGATTTTAATCTTTCTATTAACAGATGGGACCCTAAGAATTCTCATGGTGAGCTAAGTTAACCAGACAGAAATACCAGCAGCAACAGAAACAACGACAGTAACCAAAAGAATGACTTTTAAAAGTATGGAAGAGTACAAAGATCACCACCCATTTCCTTTGTTTTTTGTTTACTTTGATTCAAGTTTTGATTTTTTGAACAATATTAACAAAATATTCGCGAATTTAAAAAAAGGATAGAAGTGCGAAAAAAATTAAAACTTCAATACGTTGATTTAACAAAATTTATAACTTTTCAATAAATCAAATACTTTGAACTTTTACTTTTAATTAATCTTTATCATGTCTAAAGAAGAAGAATATACCAGTGATTCAGGCTCAGATTTCACAGAATTTTGGATTGATTGGTTCTTAGGAACAAAAGGAAATGAATATTTTGTTGATATTGATGTTGAATATATAACTGATAAATTTAATTTAACAGGTCTTTATCAAGAAGTTGAAAAAATACCACAAGTTATTGATGTTATTACAGATGGATTAAAAATAGAAGAATTAACAGATGAAGAACGTGAAATTTTAGAATTTAATGCAAGATTATTATATGGATTAATTCATTCACGTTATATAATAACGGCAAGAGGTTTAACAAAGATGCTTGAAAAATATAAAAATGCAGATTTTGGTTATTGTTCAAGAGTTTTCTGTCAATTACAACATTTATTACCAGTAGGATTAAGTGATACTACTGGGGTAAGTGCAGTTAAATTATATTGTCCAAAATGTGAAGATTTATATAATCCAAAATCTTCAAGACATTCATTAATTGATGGTGCTTTTTTTGGTACAAGTTTCCCAGGAATGTTTTTACAAGCTTTTCCTCACTTGGTACCACAACATTCAACTGAAAGATATGTTCCAAAGATATTTGGATTTAATTTACATGATTATTCTAAAATTGCAAGATGGCAAGAATTACAAAGAATAAAATTAGAAACTAGTTTAATAAATAAAGGTATAAATACAAGAAATGTACCAAATGGGTTTAAAATTAATAATGAAGAAAATGAAATTGATGATGAAATTGATGGAAATTAAGATCCCCATATAATTAATTTAATTTGTATAATAGAATTTGAAACGTAATGAGAGATTTACATGTAAATTATGAAAACATATGTATTAAAACTAAACCTAGACTTATTCCTTATATCATTATTCCTTATTCCTTCTAAAACCTATTATACCCTATAATGTATACCCTTTTCCCTATATAATCCCTACTGACACACGGCCATCAAATAAACCAAATCAATCCATTAAAAACACCATGATTTCTTGACATTAAAGATTCCCAATAATCATTAAATTTATTAATCAAATCAAAACTTTTATTTAATGTTATTTTGGTTAATGATACAACATTTTTTTTCAAAAAAATTAAATTTGTCTTCCAATAATGTGATAATGCAGACATTGATGGATTTGTATCATGTTTTATTGATATTGTATTATTGTTGTTGCTTGGTTTCAAAAAAGTTATTGTTAATGCTGTAGTTATTCCAATTCCTATACCTATTGATAAACTTAAACCTAATAATAAAAATTTCTTGAATTTTAAATGTTTATGATTTAATTTTTTTGATTTATATTTATGATTGTGGTAAGGATGAATTGGGTGATGATTTATTTCATATGATTGATTTTTTAATATAATTTTCTTTGAAGAATATTCTTGATTAGTTTGAATAGTTGGATCAATTTTAATCAATTGATTGAAATTATGATTTGATTCAATTGGTATATTGTTTAATGAACCTAGTAATTGAAATGTATCTAATTCATTATAATGAATTGGTTCCATAATTAAATTAATATTATACTTGTTCAAGATATTATAAATTATATTTTGATTCAAATTTTGATAAATTGGAATACAATATGAATCTGGATGAAATTTTAACCAATTTAATACATTTCCAATTTTGATTAAACCATTAAATAAAATTATAACCATTCTATGATGTTCTTGTTGATTTAATGTGAAATGTGGTTTTAAATCATTTGATAAATTTTCATAAAATAAATGTTTTTTATAACCAATGATTAATATTTGTTCATTATTAATTGATTGATTCATATTTGGTAATATAAATGAAGGTGTATCAATTGATTGATTTAAATCAATTTCAATAGTTTTATCATCATCAATATCTTGATCAATATCATCATTAATATCTTGATCAATATCTTGATAATCTTCAATATCAGAAGAAGAAAGTACAGAACTTGTTGGTCTTGGGATATGATTCATTTGTAGGGATTGATATGAAGTAAAATCATAAGAATTTAAATCTAATGATTGATCTTGTTGATAATCATGTTCATTATTAAATTGTAAAGTTTCTAATATAGATAAATGGGGAGATAATAATCTATTAACTTTGGTATCAGTTGAATCAATATCACTAGTACCACCATCACTTTTCAATTTATTTGGTTTTGGATGATTAATAGCAGACATTTTCCAATGTTATGAATATTATCAACACGTCAATATGAAATAGGTAATAATAGCCCCAAGATCACTAACCAAGTATTAAGCACAGTAGAACACCAAACCCAAGCACACCAAGCACACCAAACAATCAAATAGCACACACACTAAACAATGAACTGAGCGGATGTCATAAAACAATTAGAATATCAAGTTATAACACTGTCAACACTGTCAAAGTAGCTTAATTTGCCACTAAACTATAACTTTATAGATTTAATACTGGTGATCAAATGGTCTTATCGCAAATTTAAAAATCAAATGGTGTCAAATAATTAAAGGGTAGACTTCCCAATATGGTAATGAAAGTGTTTATATAGTAATATTATTTAAAGCGGAGAAGAAATAAGATTTAACGATTACTTTTCTCGTAAGATTTAAATTTTAATTGTTTTTTTTGTTTGTTGATTGTTTGTTTTGTATATTAGTGGTATTAAAGTGTTGATATACTAGTATTTGTAGAATTGTATATAGATCTTGAATTAATGGTTATGGTTCAACGTACGATTATAGTGCATCTATTCATCTATTACACACACTACAAACTAAATTTAGATATGGTACTATACCACTATACCTAGCTATACTATACTATACTATACTATAATGCTCTGTCTACTGATTCTCTTATTGTACGTCTAATTGTGTTTCGAACTTCTATAATCTCTGTCTAGCAGCTTCTCTGTCTACTCTCTCTCTTTCTCTGTCTAAAGTTTAAACTCATGATTCTTCATTGCTTTCTGCCCAGATAATCAGCGGATCTGTAAAAATCATTTTTTAGTTGGAAAGAAATTTAAGAAATTTTAAAAAATAAAAATAAAAAAATAAAAAATCGAGAAATTAATTAACAAATGAAAATCAAAATTAAAGGAAATACACTATTAGTTATTAGATATACTAGACATACAACATATACAACACACTTCATTAGATCATATTCACAGGGACTATTAGCTATTCATTCAAAAGACATACACTTCATCACTAATATCCACTTCATTTCATTACCGCCTTGTTAATTAGTGTTTACTTTGTTTGTTTATTGATTGCCATTTATTAAGCTATTAAACAACAACAACAATACAACAACAACATCACAACAACAACACAGCGCTTAGTTTGAAATTTGCTTATACCACATAGTCATACCAACATCAATACCATTTACATTTATATTACCATTACCATTACCATTTCAATCATTTAATCCATTATTCCATGATATTAATATCACATCAAAATTATACATCACAATGAATATATTCCCAAAACAAAGAATTAAAATTGGTCTAAGACAACAACTATTAATACTAGTGGTAATATCAGTTTCATTATCTTTAATGGTATTAGCTATAATAACTGGTGTTTTTTTCAGTTATAATTTTAAAAATTCTCAAGCTAAAAATTTATCAGTTATATCTCAATTAAAATCTTCACAAATTGAACAAAATTTAATGAATTCTTATTTCCAAATTTATTGGGTAAGTCAAAGAGAACCAATTCAAAATTCTCTTATTTCTTATAGAGCTGGTAATACTTCTTCAACAAATTTTATTGATGCTCAAGATACTTTAGAACAATTCTTAGGGTCTTCAAATACTTTTAGTAATGTACGGCTTTATGATGCAAAATTTCGTCAAGTGGTTAATTCAACTGATTCAACACAGGGGAAATATACTCCTGATAATATATTGGATCAAGTTTTCCCATTTGATCAAAATATAACTGATTTCCCAAGTATAATGGAATATTTTGGTATTATAAATGGTCCTATTAAAAATTCTTCAACTTATATAATGTCAATGACTTTACCTGTATATGGTAGTGTTTCAATTATTTATGGTTCTTCAGATCTTGTTGGTTATATTACTGCAGTTATGAGTGCTGAAAGTTTAAGAGCAACTCAAAATGATAGTGTCCTAGATACAAATGTTCAAATTATTTCAACAAATTTATCAAATATAGATGATAATTCAACTTATCATTATGTATTACCTTCTTCTGATGTTCCCGATGATCTTGTGGGTCAAAATTTACCAATGAATAGTAATTCAGTTGCTGAACAAGTTTTAAGATATAATAAAACTGGTGTTGAATATTCAATTAAAATGGCTTCAAATAAAAAAGTTGCAGCTGCTTATTGTCCAATAGATTTCCCCATGGTTAAATGGGCTGCTATAGTGGAACAAAAAAGATCTGATTTCTTATATTCAACAAATCAATTAACAAAAATTATGATTATTGTTTCAATTGCCACGGCAGTTTTAATGTTTATATTAGCTATTCCATTGGCTCATTGGTCTGTTACACCAATCTTGAGATTACAAAAAGCAACAGAAACTATAGCTGCAGGTCGTGGGTTACAAACCTTAAGTTCAAAAAAACATAAACATCAAAGTTCAAAGGGTGGTTCTATGTCTTCATTTTTATCTGGACCAAAACCACCACCCCCTGCACCACCTGCACCACATAGTAACACCAACAATGATGACCAAGGTTATACTTCAGGTCAAGGATCTGGTTATAATAGTCATAGATCAAGTATTGGAAGTACTAGATCTTTTCATACAAATTCAGCTTATGGTTCAAATATAGGTGATACATCAAGATATCACAATAATCATAATAATTCATTAAGTGGGAATAATACTGATAATGAAAATGGTTCTTTATCTTCTGGAATTCAAGGTCATACAAGTTATATATCAGGTGCAAGAGTTCCAACTTATACAAGATTTTTCAGAGATGAATTAAGTAAATTAACTGAAACTTTTAATATAATGACTGATGAATTAGATCGTCAATATTCTCATTTAGAAGATAGAGTTAAGGCAAGAACCAAGCAATTAGAAGCTGCTAAAATTCAAGCTGAAGCTGCAAATGAAGCTAAAACTGTTTTCATTGCAAATATTTCTCATGAATTAAGAACTCCATTAAATGGTATATTGGGTATGACTGCTATTGCAATGGCTGAAGAAGAACCAAATAAGATTCAACAAAGTTTAAAATTAATTTTCAGATCTGGTGAATTATTATTACATATTTTAACTGAATTATTAACATTTAGTAAAAATTCATTAAAAAGATCAAATTTAGAAAATTCAGATTTTGGTGTATTAGATGTTGCATTACAAATTAAATCAATTTTTGGTAAATTAGCAAAAGATCAAAATGTTAATTTATCAATTAATTTAACTCCAAATAGTGCAAGAAAAATGGTTCTTTATGGTGATTCAAATAGAATAATTCAAGTTGTTATGAATTTAGTTAGTAATTCATTAAAATTTACTCCTGTTGATGGGAAAGTTACTGTATCAATTAAAAATTTAGGTGAATATGATGAAGAAAAAAGTTCATCTGAAGATTTTAAACAAGTTTATGTTAAATCAATTGAACAAATTAATAATGAAAAACAAGAGCAAATTAATAATAATGAAAAACAAGAAATTTTAAATACAACTACAACTACAACACCAAAAACTAATGAATATTCACAAAGTTCAAATGATACAACTAGTGATGATGATGAAAATGATTCAGATCAAAAATCAATTGTTACAATTTCAACAAGTTCTTATGATGATCAAGTTTTCCAAAATCAATTTAAAAAAATTGACACAAATAATAATGGTTTAAATGAAACAAAAGATCTTGATGAACAAAAAACTTGGGTTTTTGAATTTGAAGTTGAAGATACAGGTCCTGGTATTGATCAAACTTTACAACAATCTGTTTTTGAACCTTTTGTTCAAGGTGATCAAACTTTATCAAGACAATATGGTGGTACTGGATTAGGATTATCAATTTGTAGACAATTAGCAACAATGATGAAAGGTGTTATGGAATTAGAATCTACTGTTGGAGTTGGATCCAAATTTACATTTAGAGTTCCATTAATTCAAAGAAAAGAATTAATTATTAGTGAATCAAATGTATTAAATTTTTATGAAGATGAATTTAATATTAATTCTAAAAAAAATAGAAGAGTTAAAATTATTGAACCTGAAAAAGATACTTTATCACCAGATTCAAATTTAACTACATCAACAAGTATTGAACAATTAAATGAAAAATCTAATACAACAACAACAACAAATACAACAAATACAATTTCTGAAAATAATGAAAATTTAGCACCACCAAATATAACACCAACAACACCAGGAAATAAATCACCAAATTCATTAAATATATCAAGTAATGGAAAAGTTCGTACTCCAACAAGTTCAAATTATAATGATGGATTTGAATATTTTGATCGTCCAATTTTACAATCTACAGGTACAGCAAAAGGAAGTACAATAAATTTATTGGAACAAAATAATAATAATAATAATGGGATTGAATCAAGTCCAAAAAATGTAAATGGACAAGATGGTAAAAATTCAGATTCATCATCAATTCAATTAAAAATTTTAGTTGCAGAAGATAATATTGTTAATCAAGAAGTTATTAAAAGAATGTTAAGACTTGAAGGTTTTAATAATATAGAATTAGCAGTTGATGGTGAAGAAGCTATTGAATTAGTTCGTCAAAATGGTGGTGATGATTATTATGATATAATATTTATGGATGTTCAAATGCCAAAATGTGATGGATTAATGGCTACAAAAATTATTAGAAATGAATTAAAATTTAATAATCCTATAGTGGCATTAACTGCATTTGCTGATGAAAGTAATGTTAAAGAATGTTTAGATTCTGGTATGACTGGATTTTTATCAAAACCTATAAGAAGATTACAATTAAGACAAGTTTTAACAAAATTTTGTACAGTTATTTTAAAAGAAATGACTGGTACACCAGGTACACCAGGTACACCTGCAAGTGAAGATATTAAATCATTTCAAAAGGGGAATAATAATAATAGTCCAAGATCTACAAAAAGTTTAAAAAGTAATAAAAGTTCAGGTTCAACTATAAGTCCACCTGATGAAACTAGTGAAGCTACAATTTCAACACATAATTTACCAATTAATGAACAAAACAATAAGAAATAATAAGAATAAAATAAGAATAATGACAAGTAATGACATAATTATATAATATAAAATAAGGAAGAAGGTGAAGAAGAAGAAGAAGAAGAAGAAGAAGAAGAAGAAGGATTTTAAAGAATTGCATATAGATTTTAAAGAAAGATAGAGAATTAATAATTTTTTAATAAATTGTTAATAAAAGTATACTATAGAGTATACTGCACATATGGTTTTTTATTGATTTTTTATATGTATTATTTATAATGAAATTTAATTTTAATGATAATAAAAGTTTTAGATTATATTAACTTATTTGTAGCTATATTGTAATTTGATTGATACTGATAATAAATGATGGATATAATGTACTACAATTGTCTTCAAAATATACACTGGTCATTTATTTTAAAATTCAATTTTACCATTAAACAAATTTTTTAAAGTTATAATTTTATAAACATAAACTTGAATCCCCAAAATAAACAGATATAAACACTCTGTACATATAATAATGTAAAACCTTTGAGAGCGAAATAATCTATTTAAGTTTCTTTTTTGGACGTAATTGATTAGTGTGACCACATTTTCTCTTACGACAGTTGGTAGCTCTTGGTGGTAATCTAGCATAACATTTACGACAAATAGATTTTTCACAGTTGTATTTTGAAGCTAAAGCTTTTAAAGAAGGTTCAATAATACCACCTCTTAATCTCAAAACCAAATGTAAAGTTGATTCTTTTTGAATGTTGTAATCAGATAAAGTTCTACCATCTTCTAATTGTTTACCAGCAAAGATTAAACGTTGTTGATCAGGTGGAATACCTTCTTTGTCTTGAATTTTTGATTTGACATTGTCAATGGTATCAGAAGATTCAACTTCTAAGGTAATGGTCTTACCAGTTAAAGTTTTAACGAAACTATAATTATATGTTAGTTCTTTTGTTCTTTAGATATATTTGATATTTTAAAGGTCCGAGTTGGTCTTATTGGAAATTTGCTGGAAACTGTTTACTAATAATACTTTGGTGTTTTTTGGTCTTTGATATTTATGAAATACTTTAAATTATAATGAATCAAATCATACTCTTGAGATCTCTATCATTTACTTGTAATGATTCTACTACTTAATACTTCATATTCTTTATTCTATAGTTGTCTTTCCCAATATATCAAAATCTTAACTTTATAATCCTCAACCAATTTTAAAATAAATTAATCCAATGAATAAAACGTGAATCCAATAGTAACATGATAATATAACTGTTCCCAACTGTTTCCTTGATACTCTGACCTTATTATCATGAACTTACATTTGCATTTTGGTGTAATTTACGTTACCGTCTTTAATAACTAGTATTAATTGCAAAGGAATGAAATGATTTTTTAATGGTTTTCACTTTGGTTTTTCCAAAATCTTTGCGTACTCAAATTATTTGTTGCGCGTTACCGAAAAATTTCCCACCGTACTTAACAAACTACTGATTTAGCGCTTTCATACAATCAGACTCTTTCGCGAATTGCTTCATTTTTTGGAGTTTGTGAGTTTTTTAAAGTTTTGGTGAGTATTGTGCGATGTTGGACGTAACAAGTATCTGTGTAGTGGTGTAGGGGTGTTTGATATGAGGGCAGTCACGATCACATGACTGAAGTATGTGTATCACATGATATTATTAGGGCAGTTTATTTTGTGTCAAAAAGTAGTTCTTCTTTTTCTAAGATTATTTAGTGAAAGATAAAAAACATTCAGTCCACCCAGAACATAAGGGAAACTTGACAAATAAACCAAGAGGATTAACTAGCCCTCGAAGATGTTGAAATATACCTTCAGACATGCTATATCTAATCCATATTAGGAATTTGGCTGGTATAGCTTTACTGACCTTCAAGTTAAGTATACAATAATATAGAATAGAATCCAGCGCTATGAGTTTAGGTACAACGATTAGTTGAAACTTGAAAGCAAAAACGTCATTAACTCACGTCTATCTTTGTAATATGTATCAGCCACTTATGGGATAGTGGCTACATCAATGACACATGTATTTAAATCTATTTAGTATTTATCCCATCCAACTAGCTCGAGTTAGATGTTCTACTTTCTTTCTTGACGCGATGCGTGAAGTTCATCCATCTCGGTGCTTTGAATTTCTTTATATAGGCAAAACCAGGAACAATTTAAACATCAAGAACACAGATATGAATAATATTCAAGTACCTAGTACGATATCAACATGGTTTATAGAAGCCACATACCTACCATGTCAGTATAAGCTTCAAGGTTTTGCCAGCTAATAATTTGTATACTATATTAGCGCCTACCCGCGACTTTTACCCGGTGATGATAGAACATCTTTAGCGCTGATTGAAATATTAATTGGTTAGGCTTGATATGGAAGTAAACAAAACAATTAATCAAATTAATTACACAATCACCTTTAACTAAATTTCAAACCTTTAATCTTGGTCAATTTTGGTATCAAAATTAAGATCTGATATAAATTTGTCGTGTTCATTGAAGAATTGCTGCTGTTTTTGAACTACTAATTTATATTTAAATTGTCTTGTTTTGGACAATAGATCAAAATCAATATTGGATCTAAAAGGTTGGGTATCATAAAAAATGAGTGAACCTGATAATCATCAAGGTCAAGTGGATGAAAATCATGATTCTACTGTGCCGTCAACTGATTTCACCGCTGCTCCACAAGAAACTCCACAATCAATTGCAGAAGTAAACATCCCTTCAAATCAAGATGAACAACAAAACTCGAATGTTGTTGAATCACAAACTTTAGAAATCCCACAAGATCAATCAACCCAAGAGCCAAAGTCTCCTGTTAAAGCTTTCGAAGTTGCTAAGGACTCAATTACAGAAGAAGAACAACCAGAGATACAAACTAATCCTGTCAATACAACAACTGTATTACAAGATAAAACAGATACTATAGAAGGTATTGATATCAATGCAATTGCATCATTCTTGGAAGTCGATCAAAATGAGGTCAATCAAGTTGGTCCAATCGTGTTACAGAAACTTCAAGCTCGTGTTACTGAATTTACTGATCTTAAATCTGAAAAATTGGTACTTGAAGTCAATTTAGAGCAATCTACTCATTTAAGTAATAAACGTGTTGAACTTTTCAAAAATCAATTATCAAAAGCTACAAAAGAGGTCAACAGTTTAAGAGAATCTAGTTCAGCATTAGAAGCTTCAAAATTTGAATTAGAAAAGAAATTGACTGAATTGGAAAGTGAATATAAATCATCCACATCTACTTCACAATTGAATCAATCTAAAATTGATGAAATATTAGCTGATAAAAGAAGTACAGTTGAACTCTTAGAAAAGAAAAATAGAGAAATTGAAGATTATAAAAATGAATTAAATCAATTACAAGATTCTAATAGTAATCTTCGTAAAGAGTTGATTGAATTAGAAACTACAAATCAAACCACTGCTTCAAGTCTTACACATTCAAAATTTAAGATTCAATCAAATGAAACTCAAATTGATCTATTAACCAAGAGCAATGATTGGCTGAATAAAGAAATCAAAACTATTAGTGAAGATTTCTCAGAATATAGAAAACAAAAATCACATGAATTATCTACTTTACAATCTGATTATGATAATAAAGTTGCTGAATTTAATAGTCTGAAATCAAGATTTGATAATTTATCTTCAAGATTTGCTGAAACAAATACTAAATTAGATAATGCTCTGGTTGAGGTTAAGAAATTAAACGATGAAAAATCTGTTAGTCAAGAAGAATTTTTCAAAGAAATTTCATTAAAAGATCGTCTTGTTAAATTACTTACAAAATCAAATGATGATGCAAAAGCTAAAGTTACACACCTTGAAGAACTATTAGATAATTCAAAATCTGATGTTGCTAATGAATCTGGTGTTTTGAAAACAGAACTTGAAAAATATCAAAGATTAGTCGAACAAAACGAACTCAAAATTCAACAACTTGAAACAACTATTGATGATTTGACTCGTACAAATGTTTCAAGTGATCCTTCAACTCCAGTTTTAACACCTGCAGCTCAAGCAGCAGCAGCTAAATTTCCAGGTATATCATTAAGTCAATTATATTCTGATTTCTCATTACTGAAGAAACAATTGACACGTGAACGTCGTGCTAAGGAACGTATGCAACACCAAATTGATGCATTTGTAAATGAATTAGAACAAAAGGCACCATTAATTAATGCTACAAAGGAAAGAGTTGAAATTTTAGAAAATGAACTTACAAACTTATCTATTATCTTAGAAAATACTACAAATGAAAAAGAATCAATTGAAAAATCATACACTGAATTAAATAACAAATTACAAGCTTCATCTACACAAATTTCTACTTTGAATAAACAGAGGGTGGATTTAGCTCGTCAAGTACAAAGCTTGCTGGTTCAAGTCTCTATTCGTGGTGATTCTCAAGGTCCTTTAACTCCTGCTGAAAAGGCAGCTTTCAATAGAATTGCCAATGGTGATGAAGTTGTTAACCAAAGTGATACTGATAGATTAATTTCTGAAAGACTGGTTGTTTTCCAAAATGTTGTTGATTTACAAAACAAGAATCAAGAATTATTACGTATTACTAGAGAATTAGGATCAAGATTAGAACAAGAAGAACAAACTTCGAAATCAAGACTGGAAAGTTTAGAAAGCTCAGCTATTAGTGAAGCTAAAGATGCTATCATTACATTACAAGAAGAAATCAAATCTACTGAAACTAAATTAAATTCAGTTACAAGAGAACGTGATATGTTCAGATCAATGCTGTCAAATAAATCAACTCAAAATTATCAAAATATTCTTACAGGTGACTTATCCTCATCAGCTCCAAACAACACAGATGAATCAAGTAAACAACGTTTAGATCAATTAGAAAGAGAATTAAAACTTACTGAAGAACAATTGAAAGCTATCAGAGTTGAATCTGAAACCACAATCAATTTATTAAACAAACAGCTCAATGCATTATCATCAGAAAAATCAGAGCTTGCGATTAATCTTGCAAAGGAGAAATCATCAAACACTTTAGTTGAAGAAAGATATAAATCATTACAAGAAAACATCAAATATTCTAGATCAGAAAATGTCGAATTGCGTAAAAGAAGTGAATTATTACAAGAAAACTTAGCCAAACAAGATCAAAGAACTCAACAAGTTGCTGAAGAATTAATACAAACTAAATCAATGATTGAAAGTTTGAGATCAGAAACTTCCAATTTGAAAGCTGAAAAACAATTGTGGAAGTCCATTGAAAAGAGATTAACCGAAGAAAATATTTCCTTAATTGAAGAAAAATCAAAATTAAATAGCTTATTAGTTAACCTGCAAAGTTTGGAAAGAGAACGTGAATCTAATGCTTCTGAATCCCAAAAACGTTTGGTTGCTCAAACTGAAGCTTTAGAAAAAGAAGTTTCAAACTTGAGACAAAAGATCAATGATGGTGCTAATGAATTGAAAGATGTTTTAACTCGTAAAGAAGCTGATGGTCATGTTTATCAAGAAAAGATTGATGCTTTAAGATCTGAGATTGGTACTGCTAGAGAAGAATTGATAACAAAGAAAGCTGCTTTAGATCAAGTTCAAGCTCAAGTTGAAATTTTAACTTCCAAATTAGCATCGACTGAAACTAGATTAAGAGATTTGCAAAACATCACAAGTTCAGAAACTTCTGAATCAACATTGGTTCAGGAAACTTTACAATTGAGATCTGAATTAGAAGAAGCTAAAGCCAACTTAGAAGAATCAAGTAACAATGTTCTTGAATTTAAAAAGATTGCTAGTGCCGCCGAAGAAGCTTTGAAGAGCATGAATGAAACTTTTGATGATTACAAGACAAATACTGGTAATAAAGTTGCAAAAATAGAAAGTGAAAACAAGACACTCAATGAACAAGTTTCAGTTTTAAATGATCAAATTACATCTTTGAATAGTGAACTAATTCAACAAAAGGGTGCTTCTATCAAAGAATTGGATACTGCTAAAGAAGAACTTGAAACATTACGCTCAAAAGTTACTGATAGCTCTAAATTACAAGAAGAATATGATGCCAAAGTCGCTGTTATTGATAGTTCTTATAGACAACAAGTTGCAATTGCTACTGAGGCCCAACAAAACTATGAAAAAGAATTACAAAAACATGCTGAAGTTGCTAAAGCTGTTTCACTTTTGAGGGATGAATCAAATGGATTGAAAGAAACTATTCAAAAATTAAGTACAGAAGCTAAACAATCAAAAGAAGAATTAGAAAAGTCACGTTCAAGTTGGGAATTACAAAGATCAACATTAGAAGAAGAGTTGACTAATGCTAAAAATAGAGTTGAAGATCTTTCATCACAAAATCATATATTGTACAATCAAATTGAATCATTATCCGCAAAACAATCATCATATGAAGCAAGAGATGTTGAAGACGGGGATTTGAATTTGGATGATCCAAACAATGAGTTAAGGGAATTGATTGGGTTGTTGCGTCGTGAAAAGGAAATCTCAGATGCTCATTTAGAGGTTGCTAATAGGGATTTAAAACGTGTCAGTCAGAAATTAGATTTGGTCACCACTGAACTCGATAGATCAAGATTAGAATTAAACAAATTACAAAGTCGTGATGTTGATGCTGAACGTCTTGCTCAAGATCATCAAAAATTATTGGAAGAAATCAACCAATTGAACCTATTGAGAGAAAGTAATACAACATTGCGTAATGAACTTCATAATAACAGTGCTAGAGTTGTTGTACTTGAAAAGCAACTTTCAGAATCACAAGCAAAACTTGAACCTTTGGAAACAACTATTGTTAAGTTGAATGCTGAAATTACTCAAAAGGGACAAGAATTGAGACTCACAATTGAAGAAAAAGATCGCTGGAAACAAAGATCTCAAGATATTTTGAATAAATATGACCGTGTTGATCCTCAAGAACATGATAGAATAAAGGGAGAAATCAAGACACTCACAGCTAAGAATCAAGAATTGACCAAAGAGCTCGAAGAACAAAAGAAGAATGTTACTGATACAAGTGATAGATTAGATCGTTTGAAAAAAGAAGCTCAAGACAAATTGAAGCGTAGCAGTGCTCATGCCAAATTAGTATCATCTCAACTTCAAGAAGCTCAAAATGAATTAAAGACTTTGAAAGAATCAGGTAATACTGATAATGATAAGTTACAGAACCAAGTTAAAGATCTTGAATCAAAATTGGCTAATGCTTCTACAGCTGATAAATCAAAAGAAGCTGAACAAGAAGCTGAAAAGGCTAAAAAGGAGCTTGAAACTGTACGTGCATCTTTGAATGAAACCAAAGCTGATCTTGAAAAGTCTAGAGAATATGAAAAGAAGTTTAATGAATTATCTGCATTAAAAGTAGAATTGGAAAATAAAGTCAAATCATTAGAAAATGAGATTAAAGTTTTGAAAGAATCTTCAAATAGCACATCATCAAATGAGCCAAACACTGAGCCTTCAGCTGAGCTAAATACTTTACAAGAGCAGCTATCAGCCAAAAATCAAGAAATCGAAGAGGTTAAGAAACAGTTCGAAGCTGAAAAGGAAAAATATAAAACTGAGCTTGCTGCAAAAGCTGTATCATCACCAGCTCCACAAAATACATCTGAAGAAGCTTTGAAAGCACAAGAAGCCAAGTTACGTGCTGAATTTGAAACTGAATCCGCTAAAAAGGTTGAACTTGCTTTGGAAGATCTGAGAAGAAGACTTCGTGAACCAAGTGAAGCTAAGATTAAAGCAGTAATTGAATCAAGATCTGAAAAACTTAAAAAAGAAACTGAAGCCAAATTGAAAGAATCCACCACCAAACTGGAACAAGAATATAAGAAGAAATCTGAAGCTTTAGAGAAAGAATTTAAAGAAAAATTAAGTAAAGCAGGTGCTTCAAACGGCTCGGAATCCCCAGATGTTGCTAAAATCAAAGCAGAATATGACGAAAAAGCTGCAGAGTTGAAAAAAGAGTTAGAAGAAGTCAAAAAGAAGTCATTCAATGAGGGTCGTGAAGCTACTCTGAAGGAGACTGGTATGCGTACCAAATTATTACAAGGTAAAGTTGAGAAACTTACAAAGGAAAAGAAAGAACTGGAAGAAAAATTAAATGCTACCAAGTTACCATCTATTCCAGGAAAACCAAATATCCCACCTAATGTTAATCAGAATCGTGGCAACTCCAAAATACCAGTGAACCCTGGAAAACAACAAGGTAGAGTCTATCCTCACAATGTCCAACAACAACTTAAATCTCAAAATCAACAGCAAGGTCAAAACGCTGGTGGAAAGAATGAAAACTCAACACTAAAACGTCCTGCTGATCAACAACCAACAGCTGCTCCACAAGAAAAGAAAAGTAAAAATGACAATTAATGTCAACCCACAATTAGAATAATTGAATGTATTGATTAATGATAAATGTAAACTTTGTATATTAGAAATATGTATTGTAGTGGTAAATTCGCGCTTAGTATATTTTTTCAGTTTGGTAAGCGCAGGGCTTGGTTAATATTAATGACACTTTTTTTGATCTTTCACTTTCACTTTGAAAGCTGTCAATGCAGTGAAGAGAAGGAAGAATAGTTTGTGATGGAAGATCCTCGTGATATTAAGTCAGATGATGACGAGCTAGCTAAACTAACAGCCGATGAACAAGACTCAGTGGTAGAGAGTTCTGAAGATGAGTGTGAGTATTTATCGCGTATCGCGTTATGTGAAGAAGCTAACCAATATGAATAGCCCTTGAAGAACAGCTCAAGGCCATTGAAAAGCAAAAGCAAGAATTATTGGAGAAACACGAAGCCAAGAGAAGAAAAAGGGAAGCAAAACAGAAACAAGCTGCTATAAATGAGGTTCAAAGATCACCATCTCCTGTGAAATCAATACGATCAAATGACCAACAGCATTCAATCAAACCTAAAAATCTTAATCAAGATCTTCTGAAGGCGAACGATCCCCAATCTAGGAGTGATGCTTCATCAGAAGGAACTACATCATATTTCATCAACTCTTTAAATGAACATCAAAACAAAGTTCAAGATGATAGAGAGGAAGCCAGAAAATTAATGGCCTCAAGAATCTATACATTTGATTCAGATTTGGCATGTGAACCATTCACTGTTGATGAGAAAGAATACTTTTCAGGGAAACAAATATCTAAAAGATACTTAACTCATGATGCATTATCCAGATTTTTGGAAGATAAAAAAGTATTAAGAATACCCAAACTTTTCGCAAAAGTTTGTCCACCTACTTTTGAAGAACCTCGTTATCCAAATTGGATAATTATTGGTGTTCTCAGTAAAAAATCAGTTCCAAAAGGTACAAGTGATAAAAGAAGTAAATTCATGACTTTGACTTTAACTGATTTCAAAATGACTGTTGATATTCACATGTTTGGTGATTCAGTTGAAAAATATATTAAATTAAGAGTTGGTGATATAATAGCGGTCCTAAATCCTCAAATATACATTTGGAAACCTGATCAACAAGGTATTATAAGGTCATTCAGTTTATCAATCAAGCATTCATACGACTGTATAATGGAAATTGCTAGAGCAAGAGATTTTGGTACTTGTCAATCATTGAAAAAAGATGGTAACGTATGTGGTACACCAATTGATATATCGATAGAAGATTGTTGTTCATTTCATAAAGAGTTGAGAATAAGGAAAACAGCTGGTAAACGTATGGAATTGAATGGAAGTTTCAACATGAGATCACCTACTAAAAATGGTAGAAAACAGCAATTTTTAATGGGTGGTATGGATAATAAAGGAAATGTTAAAAATAGTACCATTATTGAAGATAGATATGCACCAAAAGTTGATAGACAATCCAAATCAATGGTTTATTTTAGTAATCCTAATGCAGGTAAGGCATTCTTTGATGATTCATTTCAAAATCCTGATATATTGAAAAATCTTGAAGAAAAGAAAAGAAAACGTCAAGAACAAAAGAAAGAACGTGAATTGAAAGCTAAGATGATGAGACTTGGTGAAAAACCAACTGTTGTTAAGGAATCAATGTCACAAGCCGATAAAGATTTGCTTTTAAAGAAAAAGGCATTGACTGGTACTGCATTCCCCGGTCAAAGTGTTAAGGCAATAGGTTATGATCCAACTTCTAAACCACATGTGAAAGGTATCCTAGGATCAGATGAATTATTTGATAAGAATGATGAAAGTTTGAATGAATTACTATCAATTACATCTAAGAAAACGATCAATCTTGGGTTATCTAAAGAAGAACGTGCTAAAAGAGCAGAACAAAAAGCACAAGCCACCAAGATGTGGAAAAGGTTACAAGAAAAGGAAAGAATCAGAAAAGAAAACATAGGTAAGATAGATTTAGATTCTGGTTCTAATTCATCAGATTCAGATTCAGATTTTGAAGTTAAAACTGATGGTAAAAAAGATGCATACTTAAAGTTCAAACAATCACAAAACAAATGAACAATATTTATATAACCACTTCTATATACTGTTTCTAATACATCAATATGATGTGAATATGAGAACTGAAAAGTTTATTTCTGCTCATGCTAATCCTACCAAATTCAATTTGTAGTTTAAATCATCAGAGCTTAAGAATCTAATTTTAACTTCTTTACCAAGTGCGTTTTTAACTTTAACAGAGATACCATCAGCACATATAACAGAACGCTCTTCATCTTCTTCATTTAATCTCAAAATAATTTCCCTTCCAGGTTGAACTGCTTCATAAATTGTCTTTTCATGATCAACATGAGCACGACCTTTATAAGGTTCATGTAATAATCCGATAAATTCTGGTAATGGAATATCACCAAATTCTAAAACGTGTAATTCACTTTTTTTCAATTGACTGTCTGGTGAAACATTATAATTTTTTTCAAGTCTTGGAACTGCTAATATAGATGAATATTTATGAATAGTTGATTCGGTGAATCTTTTCTCTTGACCGCCTTCAAGTATGACAATATCACAATTATAGTCTAATTTCCCTTTGAACATTTCAGCAGCTGCAATTTTGAAACGCTCAACACCTAGCGGTCTTAATTCTGGAGCTTCAGCTCTATAAACCATTTGTGCATGACAACCCCATGATATCACGATTGAAAATATCACTTTATCAATTGGACGATTGTTCAAATAAGGAGCATAAGAATCTTGAGGAAATTGAGCTTCATATAATGGGAATGATGATTTATCATGACTGAAAATATTTTTGATGGCATCAACTTCTGAAAAAACACCCGCTGAAGACACTAAAGCATTACCAGTTCCTAAAGGTATCAAAATCAAATTAAGATCATGTTTATCAGGGCCTTGTTCTTTAGGTAATCCATTGATCAGTTCAATAATAGAAGTATCACCAGAGATTAGCAATATTGTATGCTCTTTTGTCAAATCTAAAGTTTTAGCAAAATCTGTTATGGAATCTGAAGATGTTGTTTTCAAATATGTATGTTGTATATCTAATTGATCAAAGATTGGTTTAATAACACTTTGATAAATATCTCTATTTTTTCTTCCAATCCCTGAGTTTACAGAATCAATCACCACAATATCGATTCCATTTTTAAAATGTTCAGGTAGGTTATCCTTGTTGATAATTGTGCTTGAACTTTCTTCGCCATTGGGTTTGTTGACTAATTGGAAATTGATATTGGAAACCTCCGTCTTCTGATAGCTTAGAAAATAATGGAAAGTTTCATTTTCTTTTTGAATGGTGAACAATGGGTACTCTTCTCTTTCGTCAGACATTCTCTGGTATAATCTCTTCTCTTAAAGTGGCGTTGGATCTTTGGAATATAATAGTTATTGGTTTTACTTGGATATGTTGCCCACGGAAAGTCTGATCTGGGATTATAACCGCTATCGTATAAAGTTAAATTGAGGTCCTATATATTATGTAATCAGAGGTATTATATCGACGACGTCAAAATTATATCTAGTTAGATCAAAAATTAAACTAGATATAATAATTAGTTATCGATATATGTATCTACATGTACAACAGCTGGTCAAAGGTTCCTGTCAATAAATCCATCCTCTATTAATCCAAAACACATATAATGCAAACAATATTCCATCGTATATCCATATCGTATAAACCCACATAAACTAACCGTAAACTCAAAATCATGCATCTTAATTCAATCTTCACCTATATAAAAACAACTTCTCCAAAACATTACATAGCAAAAACACACCTCATCTCATAAAACTTATGCAACACTAAATCTTCTTCTTTTTCTGATTTCACTCTTCTTTCTGACAATTGGCGAAGAATTAAACAAAATTGTACTAGCATCTCCCAATGCAAGGTTACCATCTTGAACTTCAAAGTCCACAACAAGATCAATTGATCTCTTTCTTGGTGTTGTTGGGGTTCCCGAATATCCACTATACCACTTTTGTACTTCACCATAAATATTGAAAACAAATGAATTGAAATTTCCGCCAAAGTAATTAAATGATGTAGTATTATAAGTGGATCCAAAATAAACCTTACAAACATGTTCCAACTCATTGTTCAAATTTTCAAGGCATGTTGTAGCCCTTTCACCTTTCTTTCTCAATGGAAACAATTCATTATATTGTTGAACAAAATGAACAACATTTGAAATACTAGATTCATTTGGCCAATGTCTTGATTGATAATATTCTGAAGCTTCAGCCGAAGGTGAGGAACCATTGATTTGGTTCAGCAAATTTCCTAATTTGACAAGAGAATCTTTAACATCATTAATCTTTCTATATTTGATTTTTGATCCTGTTGTTTTCAATTGCTCAAGATGCACATGTGATTGATATAAAAGATCTTGAATAACATTATATGGAACTTCAAAAAGTAAAGATTTATCATAGTAATGATCATTTTTATGAAAGCTTTGAAGACATAGTGATGCTGTATAACTTTTAACTAATTGTGGAAACGATAATTCTCTATAATACATAAACTGATCTGCTGCTTTTAAAAAAGTTTCTAAAGACCAAAATGTAGGATCAATCTCATCTAATAATTGTAATGAAGTCTCATTGATATCTAATGATGTACCTAAATTGCTATCTTTAACAAAGATATGGTGTTAGTAAGTGAATAATCATACCATGGCAAAACAAAAACAGAATAAAACTTACTTCTTGGTATCTTCTCGTCTAATTTTGAGAATGGTGAATTATCATTGGAGTATAAATACTGACCAGAAACGCTATTAAACGAGTTGACTTGTTGAGTTGCTTGCATAGTTATTAATCTAATGTAAACCTGTAAATTAGCTATTGAAAAATATGATACTTAGTCTTACCTAATGAGCAAATGAAGCTAATAGTATCAAAAAAATAGTTAGATCTTATAAATAGCTGCAATCCAATTTTAGCTTATCAGTACTATAATCAACCCACGTTAGCTAATTAACTATTGACTTTTCCCTTTTGTATAAATAGCACACTGTTATTTTCAAAACCTTTCAAAAGTAAACCTGTGAATCTGATGATCTCAAATACAGAAATGTTTCCCATGACATATTATTCTCAGAAATTACACAAAATGCATTTTAAAACCACAAACCCCCCTATTTTTTTATCTTTTGATTTTGTTTTAGTTTTGTGACATGTTTTATCTTCTCATACAAAATACGAATACCGAGGGCCGAAACACGTGACTGGAAGCGAGTCGGATCTGGGATGTCAAATTTGAAATAATTTCATTAGATTTTTAGTGTCATTTTTTCTAGGAAATGGCTACAATTTACATATTGAAGTGATATTTTTCAGTACAAAACTACTAGTTTATAAACTCCCAAGATGTCATTTGATCACTCAGTGTAAGTATGAATCTCTTTTCTTTTTCTAATATTGAAGAAAGATCTGAAACTAACTGGTTTAGTGAATTAAAAATACCCTTTGAAACTGCTAAACAATCAAAAATTGCACAAAATACATTACAACCTGATCCTATACTGAGACCTGCTGATATAGATGTCAAATATAGCACTGAAGAAGAAATACTAGTGATCAAGTTTGACGCTGTGAGCGATCGTGTGCTTAGAGTTGCTATAAGTAGTGTGTTGGAATCATTGAAGACTGTTATAGAGACAATTGATGAGTTTGAAGGTAAATTTGATGAATATTTACAATGATCGTAACGATCATGACATGTCAAGGATTATATGGAGCTGATTTAGCTGTACAAAACTATGTGTTTGGATATTATTGTTGAGTTTTGAACATTGCGGCTAATAATAAGTGTGTAACTTCGGACTATGAATTATTAGACTTCGATTCATTCCGATATCTTATAACGTAAATCCAAGAAAGTATTGGATATCAATAACAACTTGTTATATATAATTTCACTCAATAAACACTTCCGAACATGATTATTCTATCTGTAGAGCTTCATTTTTGTGTGAATATCCGTTTAAAATGGTGGCACGATATCGGCGCTGCCACCTGACCCGGGCAAGGCAGATTTTACCGCTCGAAAAAAGGACAGCCAGGATTCATAAAATTATAAAGAGGTATACACCGATCAAATCAATCAACTCCTATCACATCATATACAGAATCATCAAAATCCATTAAAGAAATCAAATCATCTCATTTTAAGTCATCATATTCTGAGGATCAAGATAAGCATATATCACAGTACAGCGCTTAAACTAGAGACAAGATACAAGTATAAATCCACTTCAAAAAAGTCTCAAAACTAGTCATTTATCTCCACCATATTATTCATCACAAGAGATAATTATAAATTCTTTCAATCACCATCAGCACATTTCATCAATTGAATAGCAAGGCTCCAAATAATTTAAAAAAATACTATAGCATTTTATAGATAGGATCATAAATCATTCTTGTTGAGTTTGTCATTCAGTTTCATTTCTCTGTTTCATATCACCCGTTCTCGTTCAATTAAGAATCAGACTCTAAATTATCAACAGCAAACTTGAATAAACAACATATCAACAAAATTTACCTTCAAGAGGGCAAAGAATGAAGTGTGATGTCTAATCAAGATATATGGTATCAGAATACAAGGGCATCAAGTGATCAAGATGTCTCAATGAAAAGTCCCGCTACAATGACAAATAATCAGCAATCAGTCGAACCTCAAAGTGATCCAAAACTCATACCCACACCACCAACAAATCAACAAAAGAGACAAAATTCTAATTCGTTAGGGATGTCTGGAGCTATAAAGAGATCAGTCACCCAGCCAAACTCGCCATCAGTTCTCTTATCAGGACATGCTACTCCAAACATTCAACAACAACATCCCGTGGACTCAAGTCGTGCTACCGCTGGTACTTTAACGCCAGCTTTGACTTCGAATCATCAACCATATAACCAAGGCACTCATCATCTTCATAGTAATCATCAGCATTCAGCATCTAATTTAAGTTATCAGCATCAACCTCAATCAAATTATTATCCACAACAATCACAACCTCAACAACCTTTGAATTTTACTTCTCATCCCCAACAATATCAACCATTAGGACCACCACCTTCTTTCCAGCATCAAGTTCCACAACCTCAACAAGTTCAATATTCTCAACAACAGCAACAACAAATGGCACCTTTTAAAGCAACATTCAATATACCTTCACCAACTGCTCAAGTACCTGCAAAGAATAAGAAATTTAGTACAACTTTTGTTAATAGTACATATCAAAAGTCACGTACACCTGATGTACCAAACTCTCCAAATCTGTCTGTTAATAAACCAAAATTTGATACATCAAGTTATATAAATGATGATCATGCTGATGGTAATGATTTCAATGAAACAAATTCAATGGTCATGTCACAAACCGCTACAAAACAAGCACCATCTGCAACTGCTGCTGCTTCTTTCTTACAACCAAATGATGTTCAACAAGCCACTCCACAACCCCAAGTTCCTTCACTGAATCAAACCTACTATCCACCTGTTCCACAAGATTATCAACAACAACAACAGCAACAACAACAACAGCAGCAACAACAACTGGCTAGATCGATCTTAACAAAAGAAACTAATCCAGACTCACCAGGATCTACAGTTAGTGAAAATTCAACAACAGCACAACCATCTTCAAACACATCACTAGGAACTGTTGGAACTGCTCCAGCTCAAACAAGTAAATTATCTGAAGAAGAACAAGTTTTGATTTTGAAATTGCAAGATACTTATAAAAATATCATCAAATTAGAAAGTGATTTGCAAAGAAAATGTCAAAGTTTAAATTTACCACAAAGACTGGATATGACTGAGTTATGGGATATTTATAATACAAATATTACATTATTGAATTCATATTATGATTTCTTATTATATTCATTGAGCTCTGGCAAATCTGGGAAACAAATCATACAAGTTTACAGAGTTCCAAGAAGATTATGGGTCTATGGTATTGTTACATTTTTGGATGTTTTGAAAAATGTGGTTTCTATATTTATCGAGCATGATATTTGTTCGAGTTTCATAGGTTATTCCTTCAATATTTTAAGTGGATTAACTGAACTTGAAATGGATGGTTGGGTCAGTGAAAAACTAGGTGATCTTTCAAGAATGGCAATTGCACTTTATCCATCTCGTTATATTGATTGGAAATTAAGTTCTGAATATTGGTATACATGTGCTTTGAAAACTCAGTATGGATTTGGTAAGATTTATTACCATATTGCAACAGTCCAACAAGATAACTTAGATGCTTTGGTCAATATTGGTAAGAGTGTTTTCTGTAGAGATACATTTGTTCCAACTCCACAATATATGCGTATGGTTATTGATAATATAAATCAAAGAAATTTCGTTGATTTACCAGTTGTTGATTTTATAAAAGTTCATAAGATTTTATTATCTTCTGAATTCAATAGTGATTTAGAATTGATTAAATTGGTTAGTTATTATTCACAGAATATTGGGGTTGATCATAATAAAGTTGATTTCTTTGTTAGAGATAGTAATTCCACTGTCAATGAAGCTGTAACTACAACAACCTATAATTTAGATAATGATTATGAAAATAAATTGAACTTTTGGTTTCAAAGAGGTTCATCATTTGCATTGGTCAATATTTGTCAAATGGTTGGATTTGGTAACTCTGCAAATCCATTTTCTCATTTATTTGGTCTGGTTGAAGCTTTAAAAGAAAGGAAAGATAGAAAGGCTAAGAAGGACAAACGTAAGAAAAGTTCAACTTCAAAAGATAATTTGTCAGCTATGGAAACTGAAAATGATGACTCAATTACTAGTGCACAATTAAGTGTAAATGACTGGTTTCAAGCAAGTGATTATATCAATAAAAATGCCATAGAATTAGCTATGAGAATGTTTCAAGATTATTTGGATGGTCCAATAATTACATCAACACCACATGTTATTACATACTTATATTTTTTGATTTCTGTTTGTGAAGCATTAAAGACACGACCATCAGCTAGACCATTCTTTGAAGTTGTTTTCAGTTCTATCCTACCAAGAAATTCACTTTTAAATTATTTGAATGATCTATTGAGATACGTTCGCTCAAGTAAACCATCAATTATTGAAAAATTGAATAAATTAAAACCAGAATTTGAATCACATGGTGGATTTATCCAATATTTTAATCAAAATGAAAATTTAATTGAAGCATGGAAATGTTGGGGTACACTTTGGTTTGATAAAATTGAATTTAAAGAAGATTTTTCTGGTTGTAGAGAAGCAGGTATTGAAAGAGATAACTTTTTGGATGTTCCAATTGGTGGAGTCCGTTATGAAAAAGAGTTGAATGATGATAGATTCTTAAGAGTTATATTAATAGCATGTCATATTTCAGATGAATATGATTTTATTGGATTGAAGAGAGATGCTGATTATTTCAAATTTTCTGAGTATACTTATGATCAATCAATTGTGGAAAATCAACTCATCAATGGATCCTTCCATAGTTTCTTGAATGATGCTAGAATTCAAGGATTAACATCAAAACTTTCACCTGAAAAAATTATGACAACTGAATCATCTAGGGAAGATATTTATAGTTGGTTACAAAAAAAAGTTGATTTCAATCTAAATAGTTCAAATGAAGCCACTGTTTCTAGTGCATTATCATACACTGCCGAAGCTGATAATGAAGCAGATTATGAAGAAGATGAAGATGAACGTGAGCAAGCCTTGAATAATAATCTACCTGGCCATGATACAAAATTTCAAGGTAACATTGGATCTGGTATGGATTCATCAATTTGTTATTTCATTTTGGATACAAACATGTGGTTGAAACATTGTGGTATGATTTATAAATCTGTTAGAAGTGGTATTTTCAAGTTATCAGTTCCGTTAGTTGTTTTCCAAGAATTAAGATCTTTAAGACGTTCACCAGATGGGAACGTTTCAGATGCTGCTGTTAGGGCTGTTATTACCTTGAGACAATTAGCCTCAGAAGGATTGGTATCTGCTTTAAGATTGAATGGGACTGAAGCAAATTCACTAAATGATGTTAGAGATTTTGAAAATAATTCAACATGGATGAATACAATTGATGATGCAATTATAAATGCAGCAAGATCATTAGATGTGAATTTAAAAGCATATAATAATAATCCTGAGAAATTAAGTGCCATTATTTCAACATCAATTTCAAATAACGATCAACAACTGTTGAAAGCCAAATCAATGCATTGTACGATTTTGGTTACAGATGATAGAAATATGAGACTGAAGGCAAGAACTAAATTAGTACCAGCTTTTCAAGGTAAATGGTTTTTCCAAACATTGGATAAGTTAGCAGAAGGCAAGTGTAATAATTGAGATAGATAATAGAGAGCAAATACATTAATATAATTAAGCTATCTTCATTAAGTCATAAGCATCATGAATATATAAAATATATATAATAGGGTAATTTCTTTCATAATAAAAGAAAGTAACGTGTTTATAATATGCAATTTGTAGTATTAGTTGGTGTTGTTAATTTTGAATATTTATTAATAATTTCCAATTCTTGTAAACTTTAATACCTATAGGTGTGTTAAATCCTTCAAAGAGTAAGACTTTGGATCCTAATTGTATTTTTTCATTGATTTTAACTGTATCATCAATACTTTGTTTATGGTTCAATAAAAAGACCTTTCTTTCATCACCTACAACTTCATCATCACTGTGTACCTTTTGACATTTAGCAAAAATTAAATGATCATTAAATAATTCAAGATAGTTAATTGAGTATAAATATTCGTCTTTTTCAACTGTGTTAGAAGGATCTAAGATCTTATGTTCAGTGATTTTCATCCAATTGTTCAAGTTTATGAATGGTAACTGTGCTTGATGAACTAAAGAACCTTCTTCTGAATGGGATAAAACTCCTATATTATGAGTGAAATCTGCATTCACAGCGGGTATTGGATCTCTAAATGATTGATCTCTTGATGCAGCTTCCAGGAGTGACTTCAAAGATATTTTTTCAATTGCTTGAGGTGATTGTGTCACTGGTGATTGTATTGTATCAGGTTTTATGGTTGATATTGGAATCTTAGATGGTGTTTGATCTGAAGGTTGGTTATCATTATATATCTGAAATTTCAATTTTGATGGTGTAACTTTTGATATAGGTGTACGATTTATAATCGGGGAATTGGAGTTATCTTGTAATACAAAGTTTTTTCTGAAGAATCCTGGTGATTTAGCAGGTGTGTTAGGTTTAGATTTTGATTTTGAATTTGATTGATCTGATTTTGTTGAGTTATGGAAATTCCTCAGTATTTCTTTATTTATAGGATTCGATTGTGTATTTCTCTTGATATTGAATTCATTTTGACTTTTCGAAAACGGTTGTGGTGACGGTTTGGATCTTTTAGATGGCCTTGATGTTGTGTTTCCATCCATTCTCCATTGTATTCCCTAGTTTTGTGAGTGAAGGGAAACATCATTTAAAGTAGAACTTACTTATCTCATATCTCATATAAACAATAATAATATGGTAACTAGAGTGATTTTTGGTTCTGAAATATACACTTTCGCGAGCCTGCTTCAGCGTAATAATCAGTACCGGTCTTTCTAGAGTAAAATGATTTCAAAAGAGAATGTTCGAGCAAACTCACAAAGTTCGCTTGCAGGAAAAACAGCAGTTAACGATCAAGATGATGAACATCAATTTAATTTTAAGCTGATCTTTTTACCCATTTGCAGGATGAACCATTGAACAGGTGCCAAATTTCAATACCATGGGCCATCATGGGAACAAAGAATCAGTGCACTACGGAGCTCTAATTAATGTGGGAAATCCAATGCTGAAGTTAGCCTTAATTTGACGGGAGCCTGGTACTATTCTAGTGAAATAATGGTACTGTTAAATTCATTATTAACTAGTCTTCATGGTGACGAAAAGGGTAGGCGCTGATTCCCGATGAGACCTTAATGCTTATAAGATATTACGTACCAGCTTCCAAGTTTTAGCTTGTAGTATCAAGGATAAATATCGAAGATATATACTATATCCTATATATATGCAATGTTTCACATTAGATCATATAAATATTCGCACTAGCTTTCGAATTGTTTGCTAGTTAGGACGAACCAGGAATTTTATTGCAGCTTATATATGGATCAACAATGCTTAATGGCGCCCTAGTCGAACGATACTGCAGGTATGCTTTGAAGTCTGTAGTTTGAACTTTGAATTTGTTCACGATCTCTTTATAACGAGTACAGTCTAGAAGCAGTGAATCACGCTTTAAATTGTTCAAGTTGTTGACGGTACTAACATTGAATCAGGATTCAGAATCATCATGATTCATGGCGGAAGAGTTTTGCCCCGAGCAGCTTGAAAGATCTAACGAGCTGAGTGAGTGTACTATACTAGACTGGGGTCATTTAGGTCTGTTTCAACTCAACTAATTTTTTTAGTTCTTAAACAACAGATGCAAACGAATATTCAGTATCAACTTGGCCAAATTAGTTCAAACTTTAGGTACCGATTTTATGGTAGCGCCTATATCGATACACCTGGCAGCTAGGATCAAACCTAAAGCTTGGGCTCTAATGAAATCGACTATTAAACCAACGCTTAAAGCCTACCAGTAAGCATCCGTGCATTTCCGTCTAGTTTGATCTAATAAGTTCAGAAAGTATACCACAAGAGAAGTAGGAAGATCGTATTGGTGATGTTTACGCTGTGATTTCCTGTCTGTGTATCCATCATTTTGTTCATGAACATCGCTGCTTCTAAAGTTCTTTCGCTGTTGTATTAGAACGGAATCTACCGTTCTTTGAGGGCTTCTAGACCCTTCGCGAAGCTATCTTGGAGACTTTTTATGCGACAAAAATTCGCTCTTTTGTGGACTTGTTGATTTAATTTTGAACAGTTGAAATGAATTACACAGCTTGCAAAGATGAAATGAGATGAAATCTGCTTTCAATGTTCTAACTTCTAACGCTTCAACTCCCATTCGAAGTAAAACCCGTGTCTGTTATCTGAAATTAATCCATTACAAGTATATGCAATGGGTTAAAATTAGAAAGTATATATACAAGATGGGATATAGATGGTATGCAGCGTTCAAACCTCACTAGCTAGTGTCGTTCAAACTTCATATGTCATACAATTTCGATTTCAGTACATTTTACTCTCTTTCCAAATAAGGTACTATCGGCGTGTATATGTCATGGGTCATGGACGTATATGCTCCTGAAATATCATACCAATAACCAATAACACTCAAGAATCAAAATGTAAGATCGATTCAAGTATGGTCCTTAAAAGGCTTAAATTCACTTATAAGCTAGCTGATGTCCTAACGCCACGGTTAAAGTGGCTCAAATCCCTTTCCAATTGTTGGTTTATGGCCCTCTGGTGTGCATTGATTAAATCTTGACAGATTGATTCAGCTAGTTCATGATGATCCAGATTAGATCTATAGTTCCAAATTTGAAACTGGATCTATAAATCGACGACCGTCTAGTAGCCGAGGCCCATTAAAATTATACATGATATCAGTTTACAAAATGTTATTCGTCCATATATATAAGCAGTACCCCATTACATATATTACTTATATCAACTCAAATACACATATAAGGCGGATCAGATTGGATCTCCTATCAGCTCCAGAGTCCGTGGGTGAACGTTAAGTAATAACTCTTATAAGTAGCTCAAGTACCCCTAAACACAGGCCGTAAATTTTTCGTAAATTACAATAATATGTCGGTTGAGTTATATGAATATGAACTCTGCGCTAGTTGTGAATATAAAGTACTAGTTATTCCTAGTTGCAATTATATACGCTCTTTCAAGGAAAACAATATCGACATTCAGCATAGCTCTCATATTGTTGATCTATTAATTATCAGAAGCACTTTTTGTGGCAAGTTATATATAGCCATGGATCGATATGTAAATCTTAGTAATTTCCACTCTCTAGAACTCATGATTCATGATATTCAACATGAATTTTGAACTGGTGTTGCAGTTCATCCCAAAGCGATCATAATAGTTCCAAAAAGTGCAGCAATTTATAACCGATTAGTACAGCTTTTCAAATATTTATATATGGCGTCACTGGAAGCAGGTTGGGCCATATTCAAATGGATCGAGATTAGAGATACCTAGTACCTAGTACCTACGTATATTCAGTGAATCAGTGCTTCAATTTCACCTCCAAGTTTAAATTTCACAGAACTGTTTTATTGTTTGAAATTCTACCGCATACATAATTCAACTTTTCGGGACTAGTCTTCAAAATTGTGGTCTCGTTTTACGCTTTTTTCCTTTTTTCTCTCTCTCTTGGATGTTTTTTTCGCTTTCAAAAATTCGTCTCAAGAAGTTATCTATTAGTGAAAAGAATCAATTATTGACCACTTTCATTTCTATTCTTATATTATTTCATTTGTTTCCCTGTTATATTTCTTTCAAACCAATAGGTATTTGAACCTTTGTTACTTCAGGAGATTATTGCGTTGCTTTATCGCGTTCAAATTCAAATTCTTTAATTAAAGGAAATAATCCTGTTGTTTGAAATATAAAGTCTGTTCATATTGACTTATATTGAGTACTGCTATACAAATTTGCTGCTTAAAGAGATAGTTTTCATTATAGAACAAGTTCTGTTTTTGTGTTTTTTTTCAGTTCTTAGGTCTTTGGATTGTTTTCGAATCATTAGACTCCGTTATTTTAGTAAATATTAAGATATAACACCAATTTCATATTCAAGCGGTTAATTATCATTCTCTATTGAAATCTACTTTTGATCACATCAATTTGGGCTCTATCTAATTTTATCCATTGGAAAGTGCTTAATAGTCTCAAGGGGCAAGAATATTCCAAAAAAAATCTGCTGTACTCAAATGTCTTTGGGCCAACCACATAGCGTGGTCAATCCTCAAAATGGTGAATTACAAAGCAAAATAATTGAAGGTTCACAAGTCAAAGATGACAGTATAGAAAGCTCTCAAAAAGAGCATCAACCAGTGTCAAACGATCAAATGGATGTTGATAATAAACCTGAGCTTCAATCTGAGAAACCTAAAATAACACCAACTTCATCAAGTGAATCAACACAAACTTTAGACTTCAAAAACAAAAATGCAAGAGATGTTAAAAAAGATGTGACTATCTTACCGACAAATACAAAAGGTTTACATACCGTTTTTATACATAAATTATACAATATGTTGGAAGATGATGATTTAAAACATTTGATATGGTGGTCCTCAACTAATGAATCATTCGTTATTGCACCAGGTGAAGAGTTTAGTAAAGCTTTGGCACAATATTTCAAGCATACAAATGTTGCATCTTTTGTTCGTCAATTAAACATGTATGGATTCCATAAAGTTAGTGATGGTTCAACTTCTGATACAAATGATGTTACGTTATGGGAATTTCGTCATAGTTCAGGAAGTTTTAGAAAAGGTGATATCGATAGTTTAAAGTCTATTAAAAGAAGGTCATCAAAGCATACTTCAAAATCAATCACTTCTAATAATGAATACTCTGATAATGAAGGAATTCAATCAGAAAGAAGTAATTCTTTAGTCGATTCACAAGGTGAAACCCCTGTTGATCCAGTTTTAAATGTTAGACTCGCTGAACTTGGTCACAATTTGGCTGCTTTAAGACATGAACATGCTAGATTACAATTAAGATACGATACAGCTATAGATGACTTAAGAAAAACAAATCTAGATATGGTATATTTATTAGATCTTGTGCAAAAACTTGTACGTACTTCAAATGAGGAAAATCAATCAAAAGATACACAAACCAACTCATCTCAGTCAACACATAACCGTTTATCAAGTCCAGTAACGCATCAAATTAGAAAAATTGATGAAGACCCTTTACCATCACCAGGAACTGCGCCAAATGATCATCATTCTGATCAAGTTGATGAAATTGAGCATGATATTGCAAGATTCAGAGCTTCAATAATACAGAGAGCTGCTTCAAGAGATGTTGACCAGTATTCTGTTTCATTTGCACCATCTTATCAATTGAATCCAAGAACTTCACAACCCCATGTTCAACCCCCACCACCGCCACCACCAAGATCATCAACTCCTAGTGGTACGCAGGAGACTTATCCTTATCCATATCCACAAAATCAACCAGGAGCTGCTCCACAGCAACATCCAGGTCCACCACCATTTCACCAACCACCTCAACAGCATTTACCGCCTCATTTACAACAACAGAATCATCATCAATTACAAGTACCCGGCCCTCAAATAGTTCAAGATCCTTTCCATGCAGATAGAAAAGCATCGAATTCTTCATCCTCAAAATCAAGAAATATGTCAATCTTATATGATCCTTTGGCTCCTGCTGGGCCAGGTGGTGCTGCTATTTCGCCTGCAAGCCAAGGCTCTTACAATAGAAGTTCTGTGTCTGGACATCTTTCTAATACTGATACTAATATAACCTCACCAACAATTGCTCAGAATAGTTATTTCCCTGATTATAATACTTTGCAAAGATCACATTCACCACATCAAGTTGTTAGAGATCAAAGAGCTGGTTCTTTCCCAGGTATCGCACCAGGTATTCAAAATACAATGAGAGCAGATGGTTTAATGAGAAAAAGACATAGTTCTAATGATGCTACTGAATTTTCAAGAGTTCAAGAATTTAATTTCAACAATCCACCAAGAAGTATACCAATTTCAAGACCTGAAGATACTATTCATCAAAATAATGAGCCAAGAAAATCTGCAAGTGCTACAAGTTTAACTTCTCTTAGAACAAATCATAGTCATGAAAATTTGAAAAGTTTAGATAATAGTGGGGCTCCTTTCAATCCAAATAAGCCTCAACAACAACTACAACAACCATATTATCCATCACCTCAATTACATCAACAGCAGCAACAGCAGCAACAGCAAGGTACATCTGGATCAGGAGTATATGCCCTTCTTAATCCTAGTGACCAAGGAAGACCAATTCCAAAAAAATCAAGAAACGCTTGAAAATCATACAACTAATATTAACATATGAAAAAAAAAATTAAATAATGGATGTGGAAATTAATGACTAAAATGAAAATACTTTAATAATTACATGTTTATACACAGACACTTTTAACTTGTGTATTATTGCCAATTATGTGTTTAGCCTATTTATATTAATGTAATGTATCGTGTACTATATTTAATCAAGCTTGTTTGATCAAACGTAATACGTAATACATTCCTAGTGAACAAATTATTGAACTTAAACTTAATATTTATCGCTAGTACCATATATATATATAACATCATGCTATCTAAGTATCATACGGTAAATCTTCACCGATGGTATTAAGCGTTAGCAGAAAAAAATAAGAGTGTTAGTCGTTGATACTTATACTAACAAATTAACATATATTGACGAAGTTGAGCGCGAAGATACATACCTATATTTCACTGTAATATATTACATAATCCACCTGCGTGAGTTTTCCGCGAACACCAACTCAACATATGGAAATATTCTCATATTAATGAAACCTCTCAATTAAAACCCTCATTCTTGAATCAAACTCAAAGCATCATTCTGTCAGGATTGAACCAATGACTTCAAAACGTCCAACTGGCGTAGTTCCTACTGCACCAAAGCCACATTTCCTACCATTCCATTGAAATTGAACAAAATATGTTGTGTAATTGGGGTTACATAAGCAACATTTACACATCAATTAAACATAACATGTCCAATTATACAAGCATAGGAACATATTATGGAGATGAAAACTATATCAATGTTAATATTTTTATTTAATTATTTATTGAGTATCTTCTTATGGATTTCTGGTACCACTAGATGCTTATTACATCACAAAATAATCATCAAAAATTTTATCTGTCTGTCAATGCATTACGGTCAAATGTGTACGGTAAGGCCACGACATGGACCAGAATCACACAAACACCATATTTTTCAACATCAAAATCGCGACTCCGTGGCCAAGTTGGTTAAGGCGTGCGACTGTTAAAAAAAGCTCTTCGCTTTCAACAGGTTATCGCAAGATCGTCAGTTCAATCCTGACCGGGGTCGAACTTTATTTTTTTGCCAAATTTTCGGGCAATTTTGCCATTTTGTATTACTTTAAGCCAAAAGAGAATGATTTTTGTCATTGAAAGGTTAGGAAGTGTGTTTTTTTGGTCTCTACTGTGTTTGAAATGATTAGTTATCATGAATATCTGTTGTTCTACAATGTTTAAACGCTATAATCCCATGTTTTGTATATATCCGAAATCTATAAATCTTGATCTGATCTCTTAATGTTCATTCTAGTTTAGCATGATTTAATAATTGAATAAAACTTTATATTGTAAAGTTCTGCTACCTAATAGATCCCAATCATGATGAGTTATCCATAGTTCTTCAATTAATTTTAATCTTGAAAAAACTGAAGCACCTTTCCAAGTTAAAATTGATGGATCAATTTCTCTTGGTGCAGGTAAGACTTCAATTGGAATTACTTGATTATTAACAGTACTTAAGAACTCATTTAATTCTTTTTCAATAATTTCTAATAATTGATCTTGTAAAACTTGAACTTCCTCCTCAGATTGTAATTTTGATAATTCATGTTCTTTTTCAAAATTTGAACTTAATAATTCAATTTTTTTCAAAAAATCTGGTAAATTTAATAATGCTAAAATTTTTGGTCTCCAAATATTTATACGATCTGTTAATATGAAATCTAAAGATTCAATTTTTGAACCACCACCAACAATTAAAATATTTTCATAAAAATTTTTAGATTTTGTAAAATCATATCTTGAAGCATTTGCAATACTTTGAATAATAATTTTATCTAATGAAGCAATTGTTGGGAAATCATCTTCCTTTGTATCATCTAAAGTATCAGGATTAATTAAATCTTTTAAAATTTCAAAATCAATTTTATTTGCAAATAAATTATTATCAAATGCATTTTTTTGAGTTGTTGAAGTTGGATTATTTGAATTACCATTATAAACATCTAATGATTCTCTTTTAATACTTGATTCAGAATGGAATCCAATTGGTTTATTGAAAACTTTTGGGAAAAATAATCCCATTGGTGCTAATATAACTTCATCAAATACTTTAAATTCATATTTTTCAGATAATTGATTTGCATATCTTTTGGTAAAATTATATAATTGTACTGTAATATTTGCATCTTGAAATGTAATAAATTTTTCTTTTAATTGATTTAATTCAGCCCAATCAAATTCATTATTTAAATCATAATTTATTGGGAATTCTGAATTTTTTAATAATTTATAAAATAATCTTGTTATATCATCCCCACCATAATTTAAATTAACTCTACTATTTGGAATAATCATACCTTCATCAACACATGAAATTTTTGTTGACTTAGCACCAATATCAACCACTGTGGAAGAACTTACACCTGCACCATAAGTTGCAGCTAAAGATTCTTGAATTATTGCAACACTTTGAAATGACATTTTTAATAAAGAATCAATAAAATTTTCAACATAATTTTTATCATAAAGATCAGGTATAACTAAAACAACTTTATATTGATTAATTTTAGAAATTTGAAATTCTTTTTCTAATATAGTTTTAATAAATAATTGAATTTCACCTAAAATTTCTTCAAATGAATTATAATCTGATTCATTAAATTTCCCATTATTAATTAATGGATATCTTAATCTATAATCATCAGAATCAATTCTTAAAGCATCATTCCCAATATAAAAAGATTTATCATCATTATTAATTGGTTTTATATATTCTTGTTTATGAATATCATTATGTTCAGGTATAATTTCAGGTTTAATTTTTTTATTAAAATTTGTAACAACTTCATTTGAATTTGGTAAAATTCTTCTTTTATAATATCTCATTCTTTCTTTAAAATCTTTATTTAAATTTTTAAAATTTTCTTTTAAAATTTCATCATCATCATCATTATTAAATTCGGGAGTTTTAATAGGTGGTGTTGATTTTTTAGGTAATGCCAATACAAATGGGAAAGTTTTAGGGTAAACATCTGTCCCTAATCCAATCCTTATATTTTTAGAGCCTGGATGTAAAACAATAGTTTTAGAACCTAATTTATCTTCTTCAATTTCTTCAACTTCAGCTTCCGCTTCAGCTTCAACTTCTTCATCATCTAAATCATCTTCATCTTCATTTAATGGTGTAGAAACTGAAGGAGTATTTTCATTTTTCAATGAAGTATTTGTATTATTAGTTTTTGATTGAACTTTATTTAATCTAATTTGTTTCCTATCTCTTAATATAAATATTTGATCATCTTTTTTTAAATAATCAGTAAAATAATTTTTTTGATTAATTAAATTCCCACTTTCAAAAGTTGAAAATTTTAATGGATTTTCTCTTTTTTCAATACCAGATTTTTTAATTTTTTTTGCCATTGTTTCAGCAGCTTTTAATCTACCAACTCTTCTTCTTTCTAAAATTTCAGCACTAACTTTTTTCCCAGTTTGAGAGTTTTGTTTCTTGTTTTTGGAAGTTGAGGATGATCCTCCCCCAGGAGCAGGAGATCCATTAGCAGTAGGTGTTTCATTTGTTGGTGATAAAGGTTGTGGAGTTTCAGACATTTTATTTTGGAATTTTTTAGCACAATAATCAGCGGCTCAAATTATGCAGCAGCTATCAGCTATATGACCAATATATGAAATGTATAGCGCCCTGTTTAGCTCAATATAATAGTGTTGATGATCCAATTGATTGATGTTAATACGATCTGATTTGACAATATAGTTTTGTTGTTTAAACGCCAAAGATTTTAAAAAAAGTTGGTGAAGTCGTGCGCGGTTACAAAAATTAATACGTAACAACTTTGAAGAATATTTATGAAATTAACTATACAAAAGTTTGAGATTAATTGAATATTTTATTCAATTTGTTTGAATTTATTGGATTCATTAGATTGCAGAGATCATGGTTATTGTTTTTACTTAATTTATTATCATTTAGTCTTGATTGGATCTATGGGAGATAGTTATGTGTGATGTATAGTTCTCTATGTTTTCAATTGAGTTTCAAAGACTCATAATTGTACTTTGGTGTTGTACTATGGGAGCATGATAAATACTTATTAGTATATTGATATATTTATATGGTTATAGTCTATTCTTTATAATATTCATTTGTTCATTGAGACATAATTAAAATCAAGAGATAACCTTCCAATCATATCATTATAACCAGTATGATTCCTCTTGTATTTAATAATCCAATTCCTCTTTTGAATTCTCAATTGGATTACTATCTTTTGAATCAGCTTTAATTTTATTCTGATCATTTTTCAATTCATTTTCATTTCCTGTATCTTTAGTTTCTTCTTTTGTTTCAATATCTTCATTATTATAAATGTTTTTATAACCATCAATTATATTTTTCCAAGAGTTTACTAGTTCTAAATCATCAGTAACGCCGTTATCATGATTTTGGGGTTGTGAGTTTGACATAATGTATAATTATTGTTGTGAATAAAGGTGAACAAGATCAAGAGTAGGTTACGTAGAATAATGAATCTAATTAAATCTAAGATAGACCGCGAAATACATAAATACATTATGGTTTGTGGCACTGGTCATAGTTAAAGTGTACAATAATGGTTATAATTTATAAGCGATATACTATATACTATTCTCTTGCTCTGTTACATATATATATATATATCTATATTCAAGCAAATCTAATTGAACTATATATCAATTTTAATCAATAAATTAGCTATAGCTAGATGTTAATATGTTAATAGTTAATATAGCTAGTATCATCAAAATGTATGGGGGTTAAAGATCGCGATATTGTGAATATTTCAGTATCAACTTTCAAGTACTGATTCCTGAACAATTCAACAAGTACCATGATCTGAAGGTAAATGAATTGACCATTTAGATCATTTGAATGAAATCAATCCAGTGTACAATATATAATACCTGTCTATCCGATTCTTATAATCAGCTGGAGTATTCCCCTATAAATTATTCAACCTTTCTAACCAGAAATTAAACATCTCGTGGTGGTTCTTAAGATCTGGTTAGCGCCACGTAGAACTCGATTCCGATTAATTTACAATACAAATAGTATCATAGTTCAATACAATACGTTACTTTTAATCGGTTAATAGGATATTACTTTGTCAATGTTCTGCCTATACTCTCTGCTTATTCTCTGCCCATCTTCCACTCTCTCCCTATGATGTTCTGTCTACACTGGATCAATGGCCACTCGCTCCACTCGCTTCGGTTATCCGACTACAATTAAAATCTGTCCGGGGAATCTGACAATCCTTCCCAACTTCCTCCTAAAATCTCCCAGTCTCCCACTTTCCGGACTCCCCCTTTGACAGACTGCCTAAATAAAATCTTATTAAACACACCCAAATTTAAAATAATTCCTGTTTAATTCTGTTGTAATTCCTCCCCATAATTCCCATTAGACTTAGCCGTACTTTACACCTTGAAGTCAACTCGTGGGATGCCCTGTGTTGTCCACCCCCTAAATTCCCAATGTCTCCCTAATCTAATCTCTGTCTAATCTCTGTCTAGTTTATCTTTGTAGCCTCATCTTCCGGTTCAAACACACACAGGATTCCTATTTCCTCCCCCCGTGAAATCAAGATCCGTTGAATTAAAAAACCATTTGACGAAAGAAAAAAAAAACCTGTTTTTTAATATTTTGATTTCTACAAATTTAAAAACTTAACGTGTTAATAAACCTTCAATTGATATAGATCTCAATTAATATCAAAGTTTAACAACAATGTCATTCTTAAATCAAGCTAGAAGATTTTCAACTTCTTCAATTAGAAGAAATTATTCAGAAACTATTAAAAATTTAAAAATTAATAGTGATACAAAAGTTATTTATCAAGGTTTTACTGGTAAACAAGCAACTTTCCATGCTCAACAAGCTTTAGATTATGGTACTCAAGTTGTTGGTGGTACAAATCCTAAAAAAGCTGGTTCTTTACATTTAGGTCAACCTGTTTTCGCTTCTGTTAAAGAAGCTATTGAACAAACTGGTGCAACTGCAACTGGTATTTTCGTTCCTCCATCAATTGCCGCTAAAGCAATTGAAGAAGCTATTGAAGCTGAAATTTCTTTAGCTGTTGCAATTACTGAAGGTATTCCACAACATGATATGTTAAGAATTGCAAATATTTTGAAAACTCAAAATAAAACAAGATTAGTTGGTCCAAATTGTCCTGGTATTATTGCTCCAGAACAATGTAAAATTGGTATTATGCCTTCAAATATTCATAAAAGAGGTAAAATTGGTATTGTTTCAAGATCTGGTACTTTAACTTATGAAGCTGTTGATCAAACTACTAAAGCTGGTTTAGGTCAATCTTTAGTTATTGGTATTGGTGGTGATCCATTCCCAGGTACAAATTTCATTGATGCTTTATCATTATTTTTAAAAGATGAAGAAACTGAAGGTATTATTATGATTGGTGAAATTGGTGGTTCTGCTGAAGAAGAAGCTGCTGAATTCTTAAAACAATACAATTTAACAAGAGAAGTTCCAAAACCTGTTGTTTCATTTATTGCTGGTGTTTCATCTCCTCCAGGTAGAAGAATGGGTCATGCTGGTGCCATTGTTGCTGGTGGTAAAGGTGGTGCCCAAGATAAAATTAAAGCTTTAGAATTAGCTGGTGTTGGTGTTGAAGCTTCTCCTGCTAGATTAGGTGCTGGTTTATTAAGACAATTTAAAGAAAGAAATTTATTATAAAGTGAGAATAATTGATGTTTTCAACTCTTTTTAAATATTCTTTAATAATAATTTTAAACTTAGTATAAATATAGAATAAATTTTTGTCTAAATAAATCTTGGTTAATTATATATAAACATATATAATTTTTTAGAAATAACATGAAAAAAGGTCTATGACTTATGAATTTAAATATAAGATATAAGTAGCTACAACAATATTCATTATCCTATAACATGACATATTAATATACAATTTAAAAATCCCCATTTAAAACCAATATACATAAAAAATGAATTAGAAAAAACAATATATTTAATAACGTTCTTTCATTCTTGATGCAACAGTACGTAAATTACCATAAACTTTACCAGGAGGAGAACCAAGAATTAAAGAAACAACAGCTTCTCTTGCAATTCTAATATGAGTAAATCCACCAAGAATATGAATTTTAGAATCTGCAAGTACAATTCTTGTTCTTGTTGCATTTTCTATAGCAAATTTAGTTTTACCATCTTTACCAGCAATACGACCAATAGCTCTTGATAAATGATCACCTTGTAAAGTTTTAACATCTTTAATTTCAAAAGTTTCAATATATAAATCATCTAATCTTAAAAGGGCAATTGAATCATCTGTATCAAAACCTAAAGTAAATGCTTTTATAAAATCTGCACCTTTTTGTAAAGCACCAGGATCTACCGTGGCTTTATAAGTTCTTAATTCCACTGTCTTGGTTTTTAAATTCATTCTAACTTGTAATTTTAAATGATCAACTAATGGAGGATAAATTTTTGGCCATGAATTTTTTAATGGTGACATTCTATGAGGTGGTACTGCAATTTTTCTTGATTCAATTTTAACATGTTGACCAGATTTAGAAGCAGAACTGAAACGTGGTTTACCTTCAGCATCTAATACAACATCTTTAGTCTCCACTTTCTTATTTGTTTCTTCATTTTGTTCTTCTTGTTCTTGATCAATTTGACCTGATGCATCTATTAAAATTTCATCATCTTCATCTTGATTTACTGGTATTTGATGTGGTTTTCCTGTTGGTTCTTGTGATGGTGCCACTTGTGACTTCTTTAATGCAGTAGGAGCAGCCATTATTATATATCTCTTTAGTAGACTATCTATCTTCTCTCTTCTCTAATTATTTCTTTTATGTATATATATCTAAAATTTTTTTTTGGTTCCTGCAATGTTCGCGAATTAGTTTTTTGAGAAGAGATGAGTTACGTAATCAGCTGTCATTTTATTTACGGGTTTTTCTTTTTTGCTGGTTACATAATTTATTTTTCAAATTTTAATTTGTGGGTTTTGGAAAGGTTGGTATTAATATAGGAATATACTTGTGTTGAAGAAAGGAGAAGGTTATACTTGGTTTAAGTGTATTGATTGCTAGAGGAATACTGTGTTATTGGTTATACTGGTTTCTTGGTCTGTTTTGGTTTTGGTTTGTTTTTGGTTTAGTGGTTGAGAGCAAAGTGGGTACCTTAATTAGCAATTACTATTATATAAGGATTGCACCACAAAATTATATTTTAATTGATATTAATCACATTTAAACTTGATATAAACAGGGATATATGGTTTAGCATGAATATTAGCTTATGATGACACTAATAACTTTGAGACCTTTATCTCATATATCATATTATAAACCAATAGGATTAGTATCGAGAATATTATCAAAAAGATCTATTTGGTTACATCATTCAAATAAATTACAAATACATTCAACTTATGAAAGAAATAATAAATTAATACAACATAATAATAATATATATAAATCATATTTACATACTTCATCAATAAGGCAAAATGATGAAACATCGGGGAAAGATTTAATGAAATATAAATCACAATTACCAATGATTCCCCCAAAAAAATCTATAACTCCAAATAATATATTAACAAAAGAAGTTTTATTATCACAAGCTACATCATCATGGGAAAGATTTGTTATTAAATCAAAATGGTTTTTAATTAAAGGTTATAGACCTTTCAATATTGATGAAATTAGTGCATTTTTTTCTTGGTTTATCCTTAGTCATATTCTTTGGATTATATTAGGAACAACTACTTTTTTTTCATTATTATTTTATGGATTAAATTCATTATTTGCAAAAGAATTAGTTGGGAAAGTTATGGGGAAATTTATAACTTATTTAAATCCAAGTTTTGAAATTAAATTTAAAGATGCAGTTGTTCCCGAGTGGGAAGATGGTATGATTGATTTTAAAAAAGTTATTATTAAAACTGTTGATGATTCTGGATTAAAATTAGATTTAAAATTAGATCACTTAAAATTAACTTTATCTTTCAATAAATGGTATAATCAAAAAGGTATAATTGATAAAGTGGAAATTCATGGTATGACTGGAATTATTGATAGATCTGATTATTTAGAAGGTGATGATGGAAAAAATGAAATTGATTGGTTTAATAATGAAGATTATGAATTAAGTGGATTAAAAATTGTTGATTCATTTTTTAAAGTTTTACCAAAAGGTTTTACTTCAGAAAATAATATAAAACCATTAGAATTTGCCATATATAGTTGTGAAATCCCAAAAATTAGAATAAAATGGTTATTAGCTGATTTTTTCAATGCAAGTTCAATAACAGGTTCAGTTAATGATTCATTATTTGCCATACATAAAAGACAACATAAATATGCATATGTTAGTGATATTGAAGATGATTTAAATCCATGGAAACGTATAACAAGAATAAGATTAGATCCTTTAGATGTTGATGTTTTAGGTTTAACAAGTTCACAATTTAATTGGATTGTTGATGGTAAAGCTGATATAACATGTGATATTATGTCCCCCGTTGAGGAAGATGATGGTTCTTTATCATCAAATTATATTGTTATTGATTTTAAAATTCAATTTAATGATTTAAAAGCCAAGTATCCAATTGAAGAACCAATGACATCAAATGGAGAAAAATTAATTTCATTAAAAGATTTAAAACCAATTATATCATATGTTAATAATAAAAGATTAGAAAGTTTTGAAAAAATGGAAACAAATTTTGAATTACCATCATTAAATTTTAGAATTGTTAAAAAAATTAATGAATTAGAAAAAATTTCAACATTAAGTGAATCAAATTTTTTAGATTTAATTTCAAATGAAATTTATATTGATTGGTTAAAACATGTTCATGAATATGAAATTGAGCAAAGAAATAAAAGAATTGCACAATGGTCTAAATCATTTGCTTCACAATTATTAGTTGTTGGAATTGGAGCGATGGTATGAGATTTATATACAAAAGATTATCAAAAAGATTATAAAGATTACGAAATATTAATGACGTTACGGGTTAATTAAGTGGACTATAGATAGAACCTTGTATATATATAACTATCATAGAAGTTTTACTTAATATATTTATATGAAATGTTTACTCAGTTGTAGTTGAAATTATGTTATAAAAACGGTCATAAAAGGAATATTTAAATATTTAAAAGTTTATTATGGGTCTGCCCCTATCGATAATTCCGGTGTATTATATAATCAGTAACATTAGCATTACTAAGCGCGCTCAATTTTATATAAATAATTTTAAATTGCCATCCTTTAAATTTGTCACATAATTGAAATTAGAATTCAATTCAATTCAATTCAATTAATCTTCTCAAAATGACTGCTTTTATTGTTGGATCAAGTGGATTAGTTGGTAACTATATCTTGAAACACGCACCAGAATATTATTCAAATGTTGTTAGTTTAAGTAGATCTAAACCAGATAATAGTGAAAATGATCAAATAACCACAATATTAGAGAAAAACAGTGATGAATGGACTAAACAAATTGATAATTTCCAACTGAAAGAAGATAATACTGCTTTCTTTTCAGGATTAGGTACTACAAAAGCCGCTGCTGGTGGTATTGAAAATCAACGTTTAATTGATTATGATTTAAATTTAAATTTAGCTAAAGCTGCTAAGGCAAAAGGTTTTAAGAAATACATCTTGATTTCATCATATGGAGCTTCAAAAGATTCTAAATTTCCTTATTTAAAAATGAAAGGTGAATTAGAAGATGCAGTTAAAGATTTAGGATTTGAATCAACAATTATTTTACAACCAGGTGTATTATTAGGTGATAGAAAAATCAGTAAAGGATTTGGTAATAATTTGATGGTTAGTCTTACTTCATGGTCTACTGGAACTCCATTCTCTAAATACTTGTTTAATCCAATTCATGGTGAAGATGTTGCAAAAGCTGCGTTGAAATTGGCCCAAAAGGAGACTTCTGAGAAAGTTGTTGTTGTTGGTGGTTCTGAGCTTTATGACATTGCCAGATCATGATTACTTTGACCTTGTTTTGTTGATTTTGTTGATTTTGTATATTTTTGTTGATGTTTTTGTTGTTTTCATTTTGTAGTTTTGATTTTTTCATGAAACGCGCTTTAAAAAAATGAAATTTGTATTGGAAAATCAAAAATATTAGATCAAAAATTAGACCCTTTGGAAAACTCAGACCTTTGTGAAGGATCAAGACAAAAGAAGGGTTTGCACAAAATGGCCCTGACAAAGAGAATACAGAGGATAATCATAGTTATTGCAATCATAATAACTGTGATATATTTCTCAGCTTTTAAATCAACAAAAACCACATCATCAACATCAAGATCATCAACATCACAAGATAATTTTAAACCAAAAATTGCTGATTTCGGTGGGAATCCATTAGGTGAAGGTATTGTTAATGGTGAATCAAAAGATCAAAAGGGTTATAATTGGGTTTTCGAATTAATCAATGCAAACATTCCAAAAAATGTTGGTAAATTAACTGAATATAAGAATAATGAAATTGCAAAAGAAAAATTCGCTACAGATGATGATTTTGTATATTCAAGAGAATATTTATCAAATTTATTAATATTAAGTGATGAACAACTAGATATTCTAAAGAAAACTCATGAATCTTATAAATCTTCAATCTTAAAAGATCAACATAAAAGTTTCCATTCTGAAAATTCAAAACCAAATGGTAATGGTATTGTTTTCGTTGGTGGGATTAAATTTTCTTGGTTATCATTCATTGGAATTCAACAATTAAGAATTCTTGGTTGTAATTTACCAATAGAAGTTTTCATTGGTGATGAAAATGAATATGAAGAAGAATTTTGTGAAAATATTTTACCAAAATATAATGCTCGTTGTACAGTTTTACATAAAGAAATTGGTGATATTACCAAGAAATTAGATACCAAAATATCTGGATATCAATATAAAAATTTAGCATTTTTAGTTTCAAATTTTGAAAATATTTTATTTTTAGATGCTGATAATGTACCAATGAAAGATCCAACTCCTTTATTTAATTCAAAAGTTATGAATGATCATGGACTTGTTATATGGCCAGATGCTTGGGCAAGAACAACTCATCCAAAATATTTTGAAATTGCTGGTGTTGAAGTTAAAGATCAAATTATTAGAGGTCCTTATAAAGGTCAAGACGCAAATTCATTAAATTTAGAAAAAGATGTTTCTTTCCATGATTTAGAAAATACTTTACCAAATCCTTCAAGTGAAAGTGGTATGATTTTAATAAATAAAACAAAACATTCAAAAACTTTATTATTATCATTATATTATAATATTTTTGGTCCAAAACTTTATTATACTTTATTCTCTCAGGGTTCTGCAGGTGAAGGTGATAAAGAAACTTTTATTGCTGCTGCATTTGTACTTGGAAATAAATACTATCAAGTTTTACAACCTTTTAAATTTATTGGTTATCATTATGATGGAAATTTTAATAGTAAAGCACTCGGTCAAGCTGATCCAGTAACAGATTATGAAAATTTCTTAAAAGGTTCACATTTAGATGATTATAATAATTTAATTGATGCACCAAACTCAGTAAAACCTGATATTTTTTTTATGCATTTAAGTTATCCAAAATTAATTCCATTTGCTCTATTAAATGATGATGAAATTATCAAATCAAAAGATCAGAATAAACATATTAGAATGTATTTATCATCAACTGAAGCTGCTGGTTATGATTTTGAATTAAGAATTTTCCAAATTTTAACTGCTGCATTATGTGAAGATTATAAAGATTATTCACCAATTTCTGAAAGATTAATTGGATTAAAATTTAAAGAATATTGGGGTCAAGATCCTAAAACTTTTTGTCCACAATTAATTGATCATGTTAAATTTTTAAAAGAAAATCCTGAATAGAGTTGTATATATAATATATCTATATAGAAATTGTATGTTTTATCTAATTGTTTATACTGTATGGATTCAATTCAATTTTTTTCTAAAATTTGTAAAAGTATTTGCAAACCCAATAATTGCAAAAATTGGACCACTTAAAACACCAGTTGTTGAACTCCAATGATAACTTAATATTAAATCACAAATTAAATTGAAATTAATTTTAGTTAATGATAATTTATTTTTATTCAAATTTTTCAAAGATTCCACTAAATTATAAATAAACCAAATTCTACATGAATAAACATAATACCAATCTGATGTAGTTAAACTTTTATCATTTTTATGAGATTTCAATAATAAATGATTAAAATTATCATTAATAAAATCATGTGATAATAAAAAACCTAAATTTTCATAAATTGTATAAGTTGAAAATATAATAAACTCAAATAATTCTTGGAATTTTTCCCTTGATTTGAAACTTTTTTGTAAATTATCAATTGAATTATAATTTTTCAAAAATAATGAGATATATGGTATTATAGCAAATATCCCTTGTGCAATATTCATATCTGATATATAACCATATATTTTCCTTAATGTAACAGCATAATATTCTTGATTAACACTCAATTTAGATTCTTTTGGTTCTTTTAATGTTGATAAATATTCTTTATTTTGATCAGTATTTCCTATTAATGAATAATGTAAAATTTTAAATCTAAATAATAATTTTGAAAGTAAATATTTCACTTTTGGATAACTTTTTATACATTCTGATATTAAAATTGCAGTATATTGAATCAATGAAAATACTGAGTTTTTCTCTTTACCTATAAATGAATTTAATTTATCATAAACTTCTGGTTTTGTTAATAATGAAGCATTCTTAATCAAGAAATTAGTTGTATCAATATTTATCTTAGTTGTACGAGCTGACATTATTTAGCCTTCTATAAATGAGTGGAATGAGTTTGAACTCTTAAGTATCCTCTTTTTTTGGGTGGTTTAAATGTGATCAGTTGTTGGAAATATAAAGCACATGGAAATTTAATGCTCGGTTAATTGGACTTTAAATAATCTGTGACAGGTTTTCGCGTATCTCGGTCATCATGAACATGATTCACAAATTAAAATATCACAAAATTATAGAAAAAGAAGTGGTTTCGATGGTTGTTGGATATGATCTTAAAGGTGGTGCTTGTGATGATCTTGGTGATGATAAACATGGGAATCGGGTGGTTCAAGTGTTTAAATTGAAGGCTGATGGAAGATCTAGCCATGTTCATTCAATTCTCATTCGATTCAATGTCTATCATATGTCTGTTCACAGAATTCAATGACACACCAAGCCATTGAAATGAGGCTGATATGCTGACATATAGCATGTTCAGTTACGAATATGGTATTTAGTTGGTTTTCCATACTGATTCACACTTGTTCTTGCTTAGATCTATGTTGTTTAACTCTTTAAGTGCATGTCCTGGAACATTTATTACGCATTGTCAACTGCCCAAAGTTAAGGTTAATTTAGGTTTATCTATAATTGAGCCTTAAAGCTGTCTATGTTCGAAGACATGTACTAACTCTTATTATCCGTTTAGATACTTGATTATCGTCTGATACCAAGTAATTAATCGTTTAGCAAATATTGTCAATTTAGTTAAACATCAGCTTGTCGGTATTTGAAACATTAAATAAGTAACATGATATTCAGCCCATAAAGCAGACAAATAACATGAAATTAGTCCTAATATCCTTAATTTAATTCTGAAGCAAAATTTTATAGGAATTGCATGATTACCAAGTATTACTTATGTTTTTGAAAGTTTTCCTGTTCATGTAACTCTACGCATGTTTAAAATCTTGACATATACCCTTATCGGAACCTCCTATAGATGAGCAAAAACATAACAAAACCACAAAAAATGACTAACTATGAAGAGATAATTGACTTCTAAATCATTTAAAGTCAAAAATAATGAATAAAATAAACGATTTAGTATATTAAAGAGTCAAAAAAATTTAAAGGCAAAAAAAACAAGCTTTGCCTCCTGCCAGAATTGAACTAGCGACCTTTGCATTACAAGTGCAACGCTCTACCACTAAGCTAAGGGGGCTTTATTTGAGAAAAATTGACTTTTTTGCCACCCTGAGATAACGCTCACATTACATAAATGCTGACTAATCATTTAATTTCATTACTCATATTTCAACACTATAAAGTTAATTTAAATTTAAAGATCGATTCGATATATATTATTCAAAACTCAAGCTATGTCATCATTAAGTTAGATTTTAAATTAAAGCAAAAAAAAATTATGAAATTACAAATTTCAAAAAAATAATCAACCTCTTAATTTTTAATTTTACTTTAAAATTAATTTTATTTAATTTTGATAATTTTTTTTTGTGGATTTTTAGGCTAAAAATAGTCTCGTTATATATATTTGGGACTCCTCATTAATATATAGCTAATTTTTGGATATGTTTTCATACAAATATCTATTATAAAAATTTATTACATATTCTAAATTATTATAATTTTGATTATTAATGTATTACATAATACATATAAACAGTTTAATTTAGCGACAGCTAAATTAAACACCCTTTAAATGTATATAAACATCAGCAGCTGTATAACCGGATGATCTTTGATGATGTTGAATAAAAATGCTATAGAAACATAAAACGCAACACTATAGTACTACAGTACTAATCGACATTAGAATTTAGGGCGTGTAGAGTCCGGTTTTAATCTAGGTATAGGTATTTTATCAAATTTCAATACAAATTACAAGACAATGACGCTATGAGTTGTGCATATGAGGCCTACTGAATCCGAGAACGTTACACAGGTGTCGGTACTATATAATTTTTTAATACCGTGTAACGAAAGGATTAAAATTATGTAACATACTATCGGTTAAATGTTGAAAGTAATCCACCATAGTTTCGTATCAATGCTCCATTGATGAAGAAGCTACAATGGTAATTTAACTTTATATAAAAAATATTCAAATGGACTTTTAAGGGAATATATGTTGGGTTATACTTATTCCTGCACAGTGTATATACAACTATTTAGAAGCATTCAAAGGAACCATATATATTGGGTATTAAAGTTAATAAACAACTTCGTATGGGTTAAGGCGCAGGTATTTAACTTTTCTATACTATATACTATTTCGATTAATATATTTGGTTTATATGTTAAATTAGCTCGGATACTCACGCTTTTCTACTATAAGATTTGATCTGTTGAATCTATGTTAACAACAGTATAAGTAATCGGATCTGGGAAGTAATCCAGATTTTTGAATCTCTTTACCTTGTCTTCGATCTTAAAAAATCTAAAGCTCTGCTATTCTTGCCAGTTTCTCAAACCTTTTAAAGCTATAAAAGTGACGAAAATGTAACTTCCATGGCCTAACTAGTGATTAACATAGTTTGTGTACTTGATTTACCAGTTTTGAGGTGCCTGCCACAATATGTTCCGTCCTGCATAAACTATTCATAGTATACGTAAGTTCAAACCGGTCGTTTCAATATTATTCCGAGTTCCATAAACTTAAATGTTAAACATTGATACTCAATTTTTAGCTTGTTTCACTTCGTCTAAATGAAGTTAAACTTTGAGTAATAACGGTGGCTAGTCTATGATTATGCTGAATTCCTGGGAAATGCATTACTCACCGGCATTTCACGATTGACTAAGTAAAAGTTAGGAGGTACAGTGCATCCTGAAGTAGTCAATTCACAAAGAATCTAAGTATAACCGTCAATTTCAGAATACTTTATAATATATAGTTTATAGACGTAGTACAACTTATGAAAGCACTGAGCTGTGCAAATTGGACATTGATACTGTAAGCAATAATCCAGCTTCCAAGATTTGAGTTTACTTTACGAGGTATTGATATAAAACTATTACAGTTCTTTCTTTGTGACAAGATTTCAACACCAAGGTAAACTGGCCAAGACCTGAACTTTGAAGTTTAGTTGAGTTAATTTTTAACAATTTTTGATTACAATGTTCGAATCCACACTGTACAATGCACAGTGCACACGTTCATCAAAACCGAAATCCGAAATGGGATGGCCTTTGATCAATTTATGGATTTTATCGCCTCTTTAAATGGCATGCCCTGCAGTATTCCAATTTCCAAATAGCCATGTTTCAGCTTTCATTAATTAATGTTTAAACAGCCTAGTTATGGCATAAAATTGGTCGAAAATAGTAAGTTTAGATATGGAAGTTTAAACTGAATTCATAACAATATATTCTTACCTGGACTTTTCAAGTGGTAAAGAATCAAGATACACTAACAAATGAGGGCTGGTTGGAAATCCAAACCAAAAGAGAGATCACAGATCCCAGATACAGTACTTAAGGCTTTCATTTGTTTCATGACTCACAACAGAACTTAATTGCTTTAAGTGAACGTCTGATGGAATTCTAGCAAACCTGTATATTTGAGAAATAGAGATTTTATATCTTGCAAATTGAATTTTGTTGAAAGTCTCTGAGAGTACGGTAAATTCTTAAAGGTTTTGAAAATTTCAGATATATACTCAATTAGTTCTCCAGAGTAACAAATCTTCCATAAGATTCTTCAATTTCAGATTCGTTTATATATCAATAAGATCTTACTAAATTTCAATATTAAATCAATTTCATAGGAGGGTGCCATTGCCAGCATTTTCACCTAGTATGGTGTAGAAAGTCAAACATCTATCATAGCGCATCAAAAATTAGTTTTAATCATAATTCGAATGAATTATAACTCTTAAACTTATTCAAAAAGAAAAGAGCATTGGTTTTTTTCTTTCACTTTATTGAATATATGTAGAATCCTTTAGAAAATATAACTCACTAAGATAATATTAGTTTTAATTAAGGACTTAATAGTCGCTCAGATACACAGTTAATAGCAATTATATGGTACAATCTAAAATACAAATATCAATTATTCGAACATGGTACAATTTTAGGGAAAGGTAGCTTCAATTAT